ACCTGAAGACTGCGGCTGTAAAGGCCTGGCAAAGCATTAAGAAGGAGGAAACCCAGCGTTTGGTGATGTCCATGGGTTCCAGACTTAAGGCAGTGATTGCCTCCAAAGGATTCGCAACAAAATATTGAAAAAAAAATATTTTGTTTGGGTTATGTTCATTTGTCCAATTACTTTTGAGCTCCTAAAATGTTTGTAAAGAAATGTGTACAATTCCTACATTTTCTATCAGATATTTTTGTTCAACCCTTTAAATTAAACGTTACAATCTGCACTTGAATTCTGTGGTAAAGGTTTCATTTCAAATCCAATGCGGTGGCATGCAGAGCCCAACTCGCGAAAATTTTGTTACTGTCCAAATATTTCTGGCCCTAACTGTAAAATATAGCAGCAACAGATCGGTGACTAGGAATTATAGCACAATTCTTATATATATATATATAAAAAAAAAAAAAAACTAACACCGTTTATTTAAATGATTGGATCCAAACTATTGGTTATTCACCAACGAGGAAGCAGATTTCTCATCTCCATCAAAATATTTATTTTATACCGAGGGACTTAAACTTTAATCAAATCCATTCAAAAGAAACTTCTTATTACAGGAATGAAAAGAGATGCTGAGTTTGGAAGTAGTGAACAAGTTCATTAAAAAAAACGCAGTTTTGAATTATCCTTATCCCCGTTACAAAAATCTACAAAAATATATATATATATTTGGGCAGAAACTGAACATATGCTGGATGATGGTGGGATTTTTTTAATATGTCATATTAAATTAAGCGCTCACAGGGTTCATACAGGAATGAGTGACTCTAATTTAATGCTATTTTAATGCTATTTGAAATGATTTTAATGCCATCAACAAGAACGATGTACACAAGTTATTAGTGTACATGAAATATGAAGGAGCTGCAAGCAGAGTTCCATGACTCCTGTATGTATGTAAACACACACACACATATATATACGTATATATATATCCTCTAGCTTTTTCTCCGCCTGGAGCGATATAATATATCTGACGAAATTGTTTTTATAAGCATTTTTTATTAAAGAATTATAAATACTTTGATAAACATATTTAAATAAATTTAGTGCCAATTAAGGCCTTGATAAAAAAAAAAAAAAAGAATGATTTTTTAATTATTTTTATTGATCCGCGGACACCCTGGTTCATCTCGCGCATGCTCTGTACGATCTCCAAGAAACTCAGAGCGACGGGGCTGGATCCACAGTGGAGGATGTATGCTTTGCTTTGTGCAGGTGGTCTGGAGCGGAGTATGTGGGATTTCGGGGTAAAACTCCTCTTGGACGCGATGGCGACTCTGCATCGAACAAGACGAACTCAAAGAAGAGATGCTAGCAGTAAATATATGTTCGATTACTGCCTGCTAAGCTAAAAGCGGCCTAGCCTGAGCTACGGCTAATAGCGGCTAATAGTAGCCTTGCAAGAACAAGCTTTATTAAAGTGTATTTTTTGTGATTTACAGGAAGCAGTACGCCGTCTTCACAACTCGGAGACTAATTGCAGGCGCTATGAACCGGAGCAAGGGTAAGATTTAAAGAATATGCTTTCATTCTGCGGTAAAAGGCAATGGATACGGATAGATACCGATCATAGCTTTACATTTTGTTTTCACAGACCTCCTATTTGCTCTGAGCCATCTCGGCAAGTCCAGATTTGCACGATGTTGATAAAGACGACATTGTGTGTAAGTGACTTGTTTTAATGTTTTCTCCTTCCTTGTTACTGTGACTTGCGTTTGATTTTTTATTTATACCACTCTCATTTAATTGTTTTCCAGCTGCCTGTAAGACATATTTTCAGACGGTACGCAGGAGCTTCAGATATACGCAGCCAGCCAACACGCTGCGTGCGGAGGCTATCTGCTCGGAGTCGGGCCAGAAGAAAGAGGGTAAGACTTTATTTGGTGACTATTTTTCAGGTGCATTGATAGATGTGTTGTGTCCATACGCAGTGCGCTGATTCATTGTTTTTTTTTCAGCTGCTGAAAGTGAGGCAGAGTGTGCTAGCAGATGAGGAAGTGGAACTCTGGAAGTCCGCCTTCCTCGGCGGTGTCTCTGGATGGATTGTACGGTCGCCGCCATTTCGTAGGCCGGATCCCTCTGAACTCTGTGTTAAGCTGCAGTCCTGGTTAGAAGCGATGCCGAAGTACAGGGCCACGCACAGTAGGCGTCTGCACATCGGACCTGCCTCGGAGGGAATGCTGCCAGTTACCTCCAACCCCGAGGAAGCAAACGGACCGTTCACAGACTTTTAATTTTTAGAAACGCATGTGTTTGGATATGCGTTGTATATAGTTGTGTGTGTTTTAATAAAGCTCTCTTTGCATAAACAGCTTCCTGGCAAATATTCATTTCCTGTATAAATTCATTCATGTCCTTGATGGTAGCATAATAATTGTGTAGTAGTGTAGGATAACATAAATACACACCATATGAATGAATAAATATATGAATGAATAAATAAATATATATATATATATATATATATATATGAATAAATATATATATGTAAATTTATATGTAAATATATATAATAATAATAATAATAACTTTGATTTATATAGCGCCTTTCAGGAAACCCAAGGTCGCTTTTCAAGAGGTAAAGTAAGGGGGGTGGGGACAGGGAGGGGTTTAGGAAGGGTAGGCAAGAGAGAAAAGGTGTGTTTTAAGGTGCTTTTGGAACTGTGTCAGGGAAGTTGCGGAACGAATAGGAGGGGGGAGGGCATTCCAAAGAGCCGGGGCCACTGCACAGAAAGCCCTGTCGCCAAAGGTCTTTAGTCTGGTACGGGGGATGGAAAGTAAGTTCTTGCTGGTGGAGCGCAGGGACCGTGACTGAGTGAGCGGGTGAAGAAGGTCAGTGATGTACTTGGGTGCCAGAGAATGAAGTGCTTTGTAAGTGAGGAGGAGGATTTTGTAGCTGATGCGTTGTTTGATTGGCAGCCAATGGAGTTTCTTGAGGATGGGGGTGATGTGCTGCCAGGGCTTGGTGTGGGTTAACACCCTGGCAGCTGAGTTCTGGACGTACTGCAATCTGTCTAGGGCTTTGTTGGGCAGCCCAGACAGGACACCATTGCAGTAGTCCAGACGGGAGGTGACAAATGAATGAATGAGAGTTTCGGTGACTGAGTCGGTAAGTGACGGCCGGAGTCTTGAGATGTTACAGAGATGAAAGAAGGCAGATTTAGTGATGCTCTGGATGTGGAAACTGAGTGAGAGTGTGGAGTCCAAGATGACACCCAGGTTCCGCACTTTGGGCGATGGGGAGGTGGGACAGCCATCAATGACCAAAGTGAGGTCTCCAACCTTCCTGAGCAGCGGTGCTGGGGCCACCACCATGAGCTCGGTTTTGTGGGTGTTGAGTTTCAGAAGGTTGTTGGTCATCCAGGTTTTGATATCAAGGAGACAGTTGTTAAGTTGTATTTGTGGGAGTTGTGAGTATATATATGCCAACCAATCACGAGCGACTTTACTTGTTTAAAAAGAAGTGGTTCCGTCCAATACTCAGTAAGAAAATTAAAGCCTGGCGTGGCCACGTGTGGTTTTGCTGCCAATCACGAGTGATTTCATTTGTTTGAGAATAGTGGTTTCAGCCAATACTGAGAAGGTTATTCAAGCCAGACCTGGCCAGCCACGCGGGTTTGCTGTATTCATATGTTAATTAGGGCCATTAGTACAGCTGATCGCTCTCCACATACATCATGGTACGTTTCCGACAATTTGTGGCACGACAAACGCGGACAAGCACGGGTTGCAAATTGTCGGAAACTGACGAAAATCAGGCAGATCTGCGGGAGTTTACAGGGGTTTACGGGGACGAAAATCTCACTTTTCATGCAGTGTATATATATAATATATATATATATGTGTGTGTGTGTAATACATAATATATGTTTATGCTCTTAATTTGTATTCTAAATTTCTAAATAGGGTGCTGAGTGTACATTAATGAGAAATAAAATTAACTTTTTTGATTTTAGCAAAGCAACTTAATATTTTAGCTCCAATGTAGTTAGTTATATGACAGGCATTATTAAAGGGGAACGCCGGTTTTTTTAACATTGGCCCCTTGATTTTACGTTATTACATCATGTTCTACTCACCCATATGAGTTTTGTGTCATTTGGAGCCGTTCTGAAGATATTCCGTTAGGTTATATCCAAGTAACATCTTCCTATGGGCAACGACTTGAAGGCACAAACTAAACTGTTCATAATTTATCATGTATGGTACGCCAGCATTCAGAACGTAGGCGAATCCCTGTCCCCCAGACATCTGTGGTTATATTTTTTATATTTATATATTTTTTTTAAATCAAAGAGGAGTGTGTATGAGCTGCTGATAAGGGAATCAGAATCCTGAAAATCTTATCAATTCCCAACCCTACTTGTGACAGTGTAATGACAATAAAACGTTGGGGGGGGATAAATAATTCAGACCTTTTCCCTGCTACAAAATCTGTTACAGCTCAATTTCAAGTCTTGTTCAAAACTGGTTTCATAACAACCTGAAAATAAATATAAAAAAAAATCATGTCTTCCCTTTGGCACTGATAATAATTTACGTTCTTCTCCTGATTTACGTTTTCGGTTTGATAATGGTTCCACTGTTCGTAAAGCTGACTCAGTGAAATATCTTGGAATGTGGCTTGATGCTGAACTCACCTTTAAACCACATATAGATTATATTGTAAAACGAACATATACCACCTTAAATTCTCTTTTTGACGCAGCCAATTGCTTCACTTATTATGAGTTGAGAAAAAGTGATTACTCAGCTAGTTTTGGCCATCCTTGATTATGCTGATGCCATTTAACAACGGGTTTGCTTTCCTTGAAAATCTAAAACATGCTATAAATCAGTTTATGAGATTTACATATTTATATCAACACCTATAAAGAAAGCAATCTGGTATAAAAGTGTATACGTTTTTGCGTCATATTTAACATCTCACACAATAACAACAAAACACAATAAACTAAAAAAAATATAGCTTAGCCTTTATTTCCACCCTGATAAGTCAGAGTTTAAGACAAAGCTGTCAAATCTCCTTACTAGCATTCTTAAAGGTTGTTATTAAGGCTTGAAGAAGAAAAAAATCATGCAAACAAGATTATTTCAAATAATACAACATGAGTTAAAGTTTCTGCAAGTAATATAGAACATCAGAGAAACTCATACAGTGCACCAAAGCTGTTGGATCACTGCACAAAAATCAAAGTGAAAAAAAACAGAGATTAAAAACATTTAATGAAACACTGAAGGCAAAAAAGACCAACTCTCTTAAATGTGATATGCTCATTAAAATGTTAAGCCTTAGCCTAAAGGTTAGAATAGATTGTTGCAAGATAAAGCACAGCAGATTATGTCAAACAATATCAATATCATCTTTATGTTCAGAGATTTAAACTAAATTATTTTGGAAATATTTATCTTAAATTTATTTGCTTAAGCTGTATATCAATATATTCGTTTGAGTAACCCTGGCTTAAAGAATCATAATCTAAGCAAAGATGCTATTATAAATAAACTATTAAAATGTCTTAACTTATTCTGCACTCAACATGTGATCTTTGGCGTCAAAATTCAGATCTTTCATTTTCCGTTCTATCAAATTATTCTAGTCTCTTTTTTTCTTTAGTGTTTAAAACAGTTTATCATTTATTTTGGCAACTTTAACTACAGTGCAGTTGTGTTGCCAGTATCATACATCATATCATGGATATATTCAACAAACTGCAAGAATATTTAGTGTGTGTTATTTAAGAAATCTTATAAAGTTTATACTCAGCATTTTTTTTCCTCCTCCTTTTTCTTTAGTCTCAAATTGTTAAGATGAGCAACAATGCATATTATTCATTCTGGTAAAAGTCATAAAGAAAAGAAAAGCACCATTTCAAAAGTCTACGATGGCAAAGTACTTATTTAAAGTTGGATTATTGCAGTTAATTATGTTTGAAGTGATTTATTATGGAAACTATGTTGTTTCTTAGATCTGTATCTTCTGTAAATGATGTAGAGTAATAGAAGACAGCTACCGGTTAAATATGGAGCGACCCGCTTTCCTGCACAACGATCCATGTGCACAGAAATCTATTTCATCCTTTTTAAGATTGCTTGTAGCTCTGACCATGGAAAAAGTGTTCCTTCTCTCTCGACCAGTTCTGTGACATGAACTGTCCTGCTCATTTGTCAAGAAGTTTAACAAGACTCTGTCGAAGGTCATTAAGGTCAAAGATCTTAATGTCAAGAATTTCTATAGCCCTCTGGATCTCAGTATCGATACGATCCCGATCCTCCAGGGAGTTATTGAGGTTCTGCTCTGCATTTTGGATTCGACGCTCCAACTCTGAGCTCCTCATCTCCATTTCCTACAAGAAGACAAAATGATATGTTAGGACCGTTTAATTGTCAAAAAGAGAAGCACAAGCAATTCATATTATTGCATAATTGTAATATTTCTATTCTGCATATAATTATGTAGATACTACTAGTATGTAGAAATTAGGGATGGAACGGTTTATGAAAACCGTCCGAACCGTTCGGTTCGACTGTCTCGGTTCGGTTCGCGTGTTTTGCGTTCGGTTCATGCGCTGCTCCTTTTTCTCATAGGTGAAGCGTTTACACTCCAGAGCAGAAGGTGGCGGTACTGTGACCAAAGCCAACCACCAGTAGTAAACAAGAAGAACAAGAAGCGAAGCAGCGTAGCCGGGTGTAGCAGAAAAAAATCAGTTGTGGAGAATTGTGTGGGTATGGTGAGTGGGAAAGAACAGGAGTTGGAAGACGCGCCAGCAGCACTTTATAGGTCGGCTGTATGGGAGCGCTTTGCAATTAGAGTGACCTACGATGACGGCGGAAAGAAAGTTGTGGATAAAAACAGTGTGCAAGCATTGTGCAACACGTTTTGTTTATGCCAACAGCAACACGAACATGTCAGGCTAACAATCAACATATACCGAACAAACCGAAAACTGTGACCACGAAACCGTGAACTGAACCGAAACGTGGATTTTGTGAACCGTTCCACCCCTAGTAGAAATGTATAAACGTGAATGAGTAAGGATGCTTTAATATTTTGTAAATACCAAAAGCATGTTGATTAGTCATTTTTAATGGAAAACGATATGATTCTTAGTAAACTAATCATTATGGACTAGTTAAACGTTAAAGCTTTTCTTCCTAGAAGCATTTTACAAAAAGCTAATGTTCAAATGTCGTCCTCCTACCCTTAGTCTGAGAATGGCTTGATCCCGCTCATGTTCCATCGCATGGTACTCAGCCTTCTTGCTCTGTAAGATGTGAATCTCCTGAAAATCACATGAAATAAAAAAACAAAACAAAAACATCATATTACTGATTATGGTGCAGTCTTGACTGAATATTTAGGGCAGCTGATTTCCACCGTAAGAAAACAATAGGAGACATTGTCCAACCTCATCTTTGGCCTTCAGTAAGGCTTCCAGCTCCTCCAGGGACTGGGTAAGCTCATCCTTCAGAAGGTCACTGGGTCCTTGGCTTCCATGGATTTCCAATTCTGCCACCTCACAAAACATAATAGATACAGTTTTAAGCCTCTGTCACATCTTAGCAATTTAGCCAGCGTATGCCTGACGTCCCAGAATCTTCTAAAACGCTGCCATACTATGAATTTTCTATGTATATTTCAATTTTGGGCGTATATATATATATATATATAGAGTATTCATTATGAGTCCAGAACTTATGTCCAACAACAGCCTAACTTATACATAACGCACGACAGCCTAATGCCCATTAATTGTCACAAGCCAGTATCCTGTAACCTGACTCCGCCAGATGGATTTGCTCCACATATCCATCTGGAAACCTTCCGTAGAAGTAATTTTGGGAAGTGGTGAAAATGCTGGTTAGCTGATTGGCCTATGTTGGTGATAGACGGCCCAAATAAACCAATCAGATCAACGAAGCATATGACGTACTAAGAGAGCGACGACGAAAACACAAGCCAGGCTACTCTTGCCGAAACCAGTCGGGAGAAGAGGAAAAACATCTTTTCCTCTGAGAAAAGCCTCCAGAGCAGTGTTTTGCTCTTCTTTCAATGAAGAGATACTCTGTAATCCAATAAAACTTGCTCGATAGCCACGCTAACGCTAGTTTCATCGGCTGAAGCCGCCATGTTCTTTAGACTGAACTGTCGCACTTCTCGTTGCGTCACACCTCAACCCGCCTCAAAGCCAACACTGATTGGACGTTCGTTTGGGGAACGGCACGTAAAGGTGTGAAAGGTTTTTACCGACTCATGTTTTCAAGCGCATATAGAGTGATTCTCAAGTATTCACAATAAATAAACTACAAAAAGGGCCTAAAATGTTGAACGTGTCCTCTCAAAATTGCAGGTCTCTCCCTTTTTTCAGTTGCCAAGTGGCAAAAAAGGAACATTAGTTAACACACAAGTTAAATTTAGAAGCTAACTTTACAAAATTTTGTTAAAAAGGCCTTGTTAAAAAGGCCTTAAAATTTAAATTATCAAGTGGAATAAAAATAGAAGGCAACACAGAACACCAGCTAACCTTACTTTACAATCTAACTTTACAAGATTAGAAACATGAAAGCAGAGATAGGCCTAAAATGGTTGAAGTCAGGTTCTGATTGATTGAATAATTATCTAGGGGCATAATAATGAAAAGTAAAATTGTAAACAAGCTAACTTAAAAAAAGAGAAAATAAGCTAAGCCTTAAAATCTTGAAAGAATCCTCTTAGCTATGAAGGTAGATTTGTTTCTTTATTATTCAATCAAAAAAAAAAGGTTGCTTCAATCAAAAAAATATATTTTCAATTAAAAAAATCTTCACTTCAATGAAAAAAAAAACTGCAAAAATATGAATGCAAAAATATATTTGAGACTCAAAAAAAATACATTTGAACACTGCTTTTCTTTGATTGAAAATGTTTTATTTGATAGAAGTGCAGTCTTTTTTGTTTAAAGCAACTTTTTAAATTGAAGTAACATTGTTTTTTGATTAGACCATATAATGGGTAGGACATTTGTCTTTTTTATTCAATCAAAAAATAAGTTGCTTCAAACAAACAAACAGAATCAAAAAAAAAGTAACTTCAATGAAAAGATAAACCTTTTCAATCATAAAAAATAGTTTTTGAATGCAAATCAAATATTTGAGACTCAAAAAATTGCATTTGAACACTTTTGTTTTATTGTTGAAAATGTTCTCTTTGGGTGAAGGGATCTATTTAGTGTGGCCATACATGGGTAGGACATTTGTGTCTTAATCATTCAATTCCCAAAAAGTTTTTTCAATTAAAAAATCAAATAAAAAAATCAAATAAAAAACTGTGCAAATAGAAAAAAAAAAAAAAATTACCCCATGAATAACTTGTTTTTTTGTTTTTTTTTTTAAAGTGAAAAAACAATTAGAGTTCAAATTGTTTTATTTAAATCAAAATTATTTTTTTTGAAGTGCAAAAAGTTTTGAAGTTCAAATTTTTTTGATTGAATAATTTTGACACAAACATTCCACAGTGGGCGGGTGCTTCTCTATTGGTCAGACATGTTTGATTGACAGAGTAGAGTATCGGTCATGCATCCTGATGATATCTACACCGCGTCAGTTCCATCCATCCATCCATCCATCCATCCATCCCGATTTCTCCCTTTCTCCATATAGGCTAACATATGATCCTTCACTCTCTCCGTAGTTCCCCTGTGGCGCGAGCACAGGGTGGCAGTTACGTGCCTTAAGTGAGAATGCACGTTTCCTGTCGCTTGCTCGATGAATCGTGCCGCCTGCTCTGTGCGGAGATGCAGGGGAAACCGTATCTGATGGGGAAACGCAGCTCAACGTAATACTGCGCTCACATCACATGCAGCAGGAGCAGCAAAAAGGCGCGTCATACCCATTATATGGGCCAATCAAAAAAACAATGTTACTTCAATTAAAAAAAGTTGCTTTAAACAAAAAAGACTGGACTTCTATCAAATAAAACATTTTCAATCAAAGAAAAGCAGTCTTCAAATGTATTTTTTGAGTCTCAAATATATTTTTGCATTTTTTTTTTATTGAAAAGTTTTTTTTTCATTGAAGTGAAGATTTATTTAATTGAAAATATATTTTTTGATTGAAGCAACCTTTTTTTTGATTGAATAATAAAGAAACAAATCTACCTTCATACTTAGCTTGGCAGGTTCTTCTCATTCATCATTTAGTTATCAAATGGCAAAGACACGTGGACAAATTTGTAGGTAACCCGCTTTATGAAAGAAAAGAACAATGATCTCAAAACTTGAATCAGACAAAAGGAATAATAAAGAAAAGATCTATCAAAATGAACAAATGTAACCCAGGCATCTCTTCAAAAATGCTTCAATGGAAATTATTTTAAAACATAAACATATGAAGCAGGCTTGGAAAAATCTGATGGTTCCTTTACTTTAATATTTTGCCGTGCTACCTTTGAGGCAATCACTGCAATTCCTGTAACTGTCAGTGATACTTCTGCTCCTCTCAGCAGGTATATCGCTCCTCTCCTTATCAGCAAACTGCTCCAGTTGTCTCAGGTTTGAAAGCTGCCTTCCTAGATGGCATGTTTCAGCTCCTTCCAAAGATGCTCAGTAGGATTTAAAGGAAAAGTCCGGTCAGTAAGGAATAATCAATGGATCATTATCTATACCTAAAACTAATACCTTTGTGCTGATTTAATGAATTTAGCGTTTAATTAGTAAAAAAATAAAAATAACTTTCTCTTTGATTTAACAGTTTTTATATCCATACCTATCTAACAATAAAAACCTTAGCCTAAATGCTGAGTCTTTTGCACCAAAACCTGCTTTTAATTTATTTATTAAAGTGGGCTAAATACAGCAAGCATTACTGAAGAAAAACTGACATTTTATCTATTGCTGAAAAATCAAGAATGTTTTACATTTACTAACTGTATGATAATTTTTTTATATGGCAAATATATTAAAAGATGGTTTAAACCACCTCCCCTAATCTGACTAATTTAAATGTGGTTCAACAGGTAAAGCAAAATACTTTTAATTTGACAATTTTGGCAGTTTTATATGGAAGAGGATTAGGGCCACTGGAAAAAAAAAAAAAAAAGTTAACTGATTTTTAAATCTTATTTCAGTTTAACATGGGAAAAAAGTCAGAATTCTGAGATTAAAGTCAGAATTCTGAGATTAAAGTCAGAATTCTGACTTTTTTCTCATAATTCTGACTTTAATCTCAGAATTCTGACTTTTTTTATTGTCAGAATTCAGTTAGAATTCTGATATTAAAGTCAGAATTCTGACTTTTTTCTTAGAATTCCGACTTTAATCTCAGAATTCCGACTTTAATCTCAGAATTCCGACATTTTTATTGTCAGAATTCAGTTAGAATTCTGAGATTAAAGTCAGAATTCTGACTTTTTTCTCATAATTCTGACTTTAATCTCAGAATTCTGACTTTTTTTTATTGTCAGAATTCAGTTAGAATTCTGATATTAAAGTCAGAATTCTGACTTTTTTCTTAGAATTCCGACTTTAATCTCAGAATTCCGACTTTAATCTCAGAATTCCGACATTTTTATTGTCAGAATTCAGTTAGAATTCTGAGATTAAAGTCAGAATTCTGACTTTTTTCTTAGAATTCCGACTTTAATCTCAGAATTCCGACTTTAATCTCAGAATTCCGACTTTAATCTCAGAATTCTGACTTTAATCTCAGAATTCCGACTTTAATCTCAGAATTCCGACTTTAATCTCAGAATTCTGACTTTAATCTCAGAATTCTGACTTTTTTATTGTCAGAATTCAGTTAGAATTCTGAGAAAAAAGTCAGAATTCTGACTTTTTTATTGTCAGAATTCAGTTAGAATTCTGAGAAAAAAGTCAGAATTCTGACTTTTTTATTGTCAGAATTCAGTTAGAATTCTGAGAAAAAAGTCAGAATTCTGACTTTTTTATTGTCAGAATTCAGTTAGAATTCTGAGAAAAAAGTCAGAATTCTGACTTTTTTATTGTCAGAATTCAGTTAGAATTCTGAGAAAAAAGTCAGAATTCTGACTTTTTTCCCATACTAAACTGAAATAAAATTTAAACATCAGTTAACTTTTTTTTTTTCCCACTGGCCCTAATCCTCTTCCGTAGTTTTACACCCGGCTTTAGAGTAATTTATATGGTTTAGTAATTTGAATGGTTTAGTTAGATGGGCAAAAGTAATATAAATGTTGTCCCTTTTTTATTACATAGACTAAAATCTGTAAAATAACTGCTTTAATTGAGATAAAGGTGAATGGTTTGAGGTTAATTCAAGGTCTATAAAGTATTGAGTGTCACATCTGTGTCATTTGAGCCTGTCAGAGAGAACAAGGAGAAAGGCAGCAAACGGCTCAGCAGCCTGCTACAGACTAACTGTTTTAACAGTATATTGCAGAGATAAGTCACAGCTATATGAACAAAAATAAAAGGAACACGAGCTCCCACTGGTGATTTTTCATTTTTTCCTAACTGGGCCACTGAAAGTAGATTGCTGTCCTACAAACTCCTCTCTCTCCTCAACTATCCACCCTGGAGACTTGAACTATATTCAGCCACCTGGTCCCCTCGCACACAGTGGAGAACTAGCTGTGTCCAAAAGATGTAGGTCCTCACTGGTATCATTTTGTTGAGGGACATTTCTTTTTCTCTTCCTCCACACAAAATAAGAATACTACAGGGGGGGGGTTTTGTCATTCAGTTCAGAAAGAAAAAAACTCAGACTCATTATACACCATGTGAACAATTTTAGGGTTTTATTTGTTAATTTTAGAGATTGGAGCGATGTCATACATGTCAGACTTAATAATACTACTTCAGCGATAGTTTCGAGGTGTTGCTTTATTGTATGTCTCGTACAATGTCTTTAGGTTGTGCTGTTCTTTTTTCATCTCGTTACAGGTGATGAAGCAGACTGAAAATGTTTTGTCATTGTCTCCTTTCTATCTCCTCTTTCTTTCATCTTTTTTCCTTTTTCTTCTGTTTTTCTGCTCTATTTACATTGCAGTGTCCATACAAACTGTAAAACTTCCTGCATAATAATAATAAAGCAATTTTTATGCATGAAACAAGTGGGTGGAGCTATATGGCAATTGCCATACTGCTCCACTTGTGGAAGTAAAATCTGTTGGGCTCTTTTTGGCATCAAGACAATTATTCTTATTGCCACATTGCCAGACAGGACACTGTAAAAAAAAAAGAAAAAAAGATTGGGGCGAAAAGATAATTAAACCCCAGAATTTTATGTCTTGAATAATGTTGGTATATTGTAAAAAAGGCAGGTTGATCAGCTGATTAACTCAAAACACCAAGTTTTGCAGAGGTCTAATCACTAGTATATGCATCTCCTGTTCGACGAGGGGAGCAGGAAAGTAGATTATTTGTAGCCTCCAACAGGCACAGATTAACCACACCAACATAGGTGAACATCCAAGCAGATGTTTACCTGGAAAATAAAAAAAAACACTGCTGCTCATGCTGTTAGGCATATATATGAATAATAGGAAACTATTATTCATGTATATGCCTGTTAAACCCTAATAATACCTGCCTGTTAGGTTTAAAGGCTCATGTTTTCCCAAGCAGTTTATCCAATTAGGAAAAGCTTTAGGAAGGTTTGGGTAATACTTGGCCCATAAACCACTATAGTAATTTTGGACAATGAATACCAATGTCCATGTTTCATCTTAACATGTTCACTTGAGTAGAAGTTGCAGTTCTGCTCCCCAGAAAAGCTATCCTCTCAAAGCTCCGGCAAACCTTCCACCAACCTAAGGGCTGGTTATCCTCCTACAGCAGTGTGTCGCAGGTATGACGCAGATTCTGTAAAAGTTCCAAAAAAAAATCCACTGGACTTTGTTTCCAAGGTTTGAAGACGTATCGCCACCTCTCCAGGAAGTTTTCTCAATTCAAATGTCTGGATCCGCAGTGAGTTTGAGACTTTATATAGACAAAGCCTTGTATGATTCTGAAGGTCGGTCGTTTCAGAATCATAGACAGGTTTCAGATATTACAGGCTAACAATGGAACCAAACGACCCACTAATCGGTTTTCATTTGCATGTTTCCAAGCGATACAAGGCGTTGTCTATATAAAGACTTAAACTCACTGCGGATCCAGACATTTGAAGTGAGAAAGCTTCCTGGAGAGGTGGCGAAACGTCTTCAAACCTTGGAAACCAAGTCCAGTGGATTGTTTTTTAAACTTTCACAGAATGACTAGGACCTGGATGACTGTGAATCTTTATCAGTGTATGACGCAGATATTTTTGATCTATGTCCAATTTTGAAGCCCAATATTCCTCGCTGCACTGAACAGCATATACCACTCCACTCATATTCGGTCTGGGGGTTTTATCTTTAGGATGCACTAGCGTCTGTTTAAGGGTTTTGTTTGGTTTGAAATATACAGGGATTTTGTGTTTGGAGAAAATCCTCTTGAAAAACTCAAGAGGTAAAGACGCATGGCCCAGCACATCTGGTCGGCTGGTGTCTCAACACACCCTCCTCTGGAAAAGACTCCGCAGTACATCTACACCTTGTGGACAAAGGACATTCTTTTAAGGACCAGAATGTTCACATTTTGGATAAAGAAACAAGGTGGTTTAGAGGGGCGTGAAGGAAGCCATCTATGTTAAGAGAGAAAAAACAACTTTAAACAGAGGTGCTGGACTCAGATTCCAGCTTCCAAAAAATTACAATTCAGTTATTGAGTTGATTCCTTCCAGGTATCACCACAACCTCCACCCCATCCCAGAGGAACAAAGCACCTCCTCCCTTCAGCCAGGTGAACAATCCCCCTCCTTTAACGACCGACCTTCAGAATCATAGAGAGGTTTTAGATATTACAGGCTAACAATGTAACCAAACGACCCACTCAACTGTTTCCATTTGCATGTTTCCAAGCGATACAAGGCCTTGTCTATATAAAGACTCAAACTCACTGCGGATCCAGATATTTGAATTGAGCAAGCTTCCTGGAGAGGTGGCGAAACGTCTTCAAACCTTGGAAACTAAGTCCAATTAATTGTTTTTTTTTTCTTAAACTTTTATGAATGATTGAACATCTCTTTCCTCATCTGTAAGAGAAACAAGCCTGTATGTGTTTCTGGTGCTTTGACTTTTTCTTAGGAGCGAATCCCAAAGTGAGGCTGTTGACAACTTTCTGGGCTGCCCAGACTCAACCCAGTCTCATTTTTTTTTCGTCTCCCAGCTGGAATCTTGAAAGTCACGTGACTAGGACGTAAAACAATAGAAAGCGTATAGGCAGAAGAAATGTAACAGTACCACAAAAAAAGGCCATTAATGTACCTCCACTACGTTTTACAGTTTGGACCAACGTAGTGGGGGTACGTTTTCCCATGACTACAGTGGCCATATTGTGCTCAAGGTACAAAGCACCAATTAGTTCATACCTTTGTCTTTTCACATATGCATAAATGTGTGTAAATTATTGTCTCGATGATGTTTGTTCTGGCAGAGAGCTCTCCTCGCAAAGCATTATGGGATTTGCTGTCACATCGGCCCACTGTCGGGTAGCGACAGCAGGTTGCTGTCGACTAATAAAGACGGCGTAGGCACAGCGCAGTGGAGGAGGAGTTACGGTACCAACGGGGAGCAAAAAGTAGTGATCATCTGTCCGAACGGCAAGTTAACCCTTTAAAGCCCGATCCAAGAATAAAACAAAACAGAAAATGTCTTTTTTTTGGTTTGAAGTCCTTTTTTGGCCTTTTAACAAAATATGTAAAAAGAAAAAAAAAGAGATACATTTTTGATATTAATAATTTATTACTATGCGATAGGTCAAGATTATTTTTTGTGTAGTCTTCTGCCCTCTGTTATCAGGTATATCTGATTGTGTTCAATAGGATTTTGAGCAAAGTTTTTACCATTAAATTATGCAAAAGGTGTCAGACGCAAAACATTTCAGAAACCGTATGTATCAAATATCATATATTTGGCATTACAGGGTTAACTAAGTCCATTATATAGTCCCCACTCAATAGTGATTGAGGGATTTAGGAGTTAGGACAAGCGTCCGGGCACAGTAAGCTTGTATGAGCTATATTCTAAACAGACAGGAGAAATGGGCTTGTGCACGCTCTCGCAGCGTTTAAAAGGCGTTCCCTCTGGGGAGCGGGTAAAGGGTTGTGCATTTGTTCTTTTTTAAGCTACAAGCTGAAAAGAGTTAGCAATGTCTCTCTAAAGCAGAAGTTTACCTGTTCTCTAAGCCTTTCAGTCTCCGCTTGATACGCCGCCAGCTGTTTCTTCCATTGCTCCACATTAGCATTAGCCTCATGCAAAGCTGCCACCAACTTGGAGTTGCTGTCCTGTAGAGTGAAAAGCTCAGCTTCCAGATTGAGCTCACAAATAGATCTGCAAGACACAAACCAGTTTACTATAATTAAATGAGATGTTGAGGTTAAAAAAAATACAATGCCATTCTTCATAAATCTGTCAAAGTTTTAGTATTAAATTTAGATAATTTAATCCTTCTACCTTTTGTTGTGTTACAGATATGAACGCCTGATATAAAATAAACCATTTGAAAAACTGAACTAATCTGTTGAAAGTATTCAGATGATTAATATTATCCAGTGAAGATAAAGTGTTTCCTAATTATTCTGCACAACCAATTCTGCTGTGGTTAGATGTAGTTCAGAATTAAGACGTCAAAATGAGGAGACATCTTTCAGGAAACATGCAAATACTGTTTGAAATCGTATTCATTCGTGTTATGAATTCAAAAGGTCCAAACTTTCAGCTTTGATCCGAAAGTGAAATAAACTGAATAGGCAAAAGTGATTTCACTATTATGCCCTGTTTGCACTCTGATCACTGATGCTTTGGTTCCTTCTCATCTCAAAGCTTAAAGTTGTTTCCCTGGAAACTGGTTTCCATGGTAACCATTCATGACAGATTCACAGCCTTGGTTATTTGACTGTGGGTCTTACAAGCTTTGTGGTTCTGAAAGTGTTGCCTAAGAAGATATTTTTGGTCATGGTTAGATGTATTAATCAATACCTTAATGGTCTCCCCTCCTTGTCTTGAAAATAATTGTGAGCTAATTAAATAATAGTTCATTTCAAATTCAAGCACAAGTAACAGCAATTCAATTCAGTTTATTATAGACTCACATATGTGTATATAAGAGGAAAAAAGTTTTAGTGCCCATCGTTTAATGAGAGAAAAACCAACAATGGTCCCCAGGATTAACTTGAATGTGCCAAAAATGATAAATAAAAATTCTGGAAAATTGAGACATCGCTATTCAACAATAAAAAAAAATGATTTAGAAAAATAAAGTTATACACATAGAAAAAAAAAAATTATAATTTTTTCAGGGCTCGATGTTAACCATTGCCCGATCGCCCGGGGCAAGTAGTTTTTATTGTCAGGAGAGTACAAATTTCATTGCATTTGCCCGCCGGGCAAGATCGCAAAAAAAAATTATTTATCATTTAAAATCACAGACATTCGCTTAAAACGACCCACAAGCGTTGCCAGCGCCATTTTTGTTGTTTTGTACACATTCTCGCGTGATTTGAAAAAGCTGCGAGATTTTCCTTCAGCTCTTGGGGAGAGAATTCTGCAGAGCAGCAGCTGGATGATGAATTTAATCTATACTATAATACACGCTAGATTAAAAATGATCAGTCAGGGATTAGGAAAATAATAATTGTATGCGCACAGTGTAATATTTCTATCATATGGCAGTCTTCTGTACAGTGATGCAGGTCATACATTAAAAAATGTTCATTAAATTTTTTTCTCTTAGACATTGGAGTGGTGCATTTAAATGTTATAGAGCAAAACATGTTAAATTGGTGAGTAGTAGTAGTGTAAGTTTTTAACCTGTCAAGATTTTTTTAGATTTTTAACATTGCAATTTATATTTTTCCAAGCAGACAACAGTTTAAAGCAAAGTTTAGTTTGAAAAGAATGTGCAGGAAGGATTGAAAAGCATGTCAACACGGTAATGTAGGCTTGAGTTCCTTATCTGACGCATGCAGATACACACCAGGAACCTGGAAACTTACTGAATTACAAAAAAACATTTAAGAAACAAACATGTTTCATTGATATATATATACAAAAATGAATATTAGGAACTATATTGATCAAACATTATACTGGGTAAGTAAGGATTGTTTCTGGGCAAATGAAATGTGAAATTTAAACCAGTGTCAAATGTGAATAGAATATCTTAGAATCCATTACCCTTCTGAAAGCATCTTCTTAATCCTCTCCTTCTCAGAGGCCAGTGTGATATCTGCACTCTGGCTGCGGAACAGCTTGTCCTCTGGTCCATTCACGCACATCACTGGCGGAGACTGGAGTTCATCCGAGAGGTCCTGAGAGACACGTCAGTAAATGGACTCTCCTGATGCCACATGGCATTTTCAGAAACAAAAAAATAACTCCTTATGGAGCGGAGAATCTCTTAAAAGTGTTAAGGAATCATTTTAAAGCAACATTTGAACTAAATGAAAAAGAAACCATTCAAGATGCAGTTTTTAGCTTAATAATTTAAACATGTACAATTGAATTGTTTCCAACAGTTTCTACACAGAGCATAAATAAACTCACCTGCGAGAACTAGATGAGATCCAGGAAGTGGAAGAAATACAAAAAACAAATTCATTAATAATAAATACACCCTGCTTATTGTCATTAAAATAAAACAGCAGTCAAGTGGCAACCTTAAAGGAATAGTACACCCAAAACATGATTAGCCTTCATTTTCTACTCACCCCCATGCTGAACAACACTCTGGAGTACTTTTTTGATATCTCAAATGCATCTGGAGATCTGGGAGGCTTCTTGCTGTCTGCTGACATTCAAATAATGGAGGTCTATGGTGCCCGAGGCAGAAAGGTCCATAAAAGTCCACAAAAAACGTGTCAATATTCCTCCATACTGCTCGTCCAATGTATTCCAAGTGTCCTGAGTGGGTAGCGTCCATAATTTACTCGAAACAAAGTCATTTAGAATGTTTTTAGAGCATAAACAGTAGTGTATAGGATTTCCTGAAAGCGCGTGCCTGCGGGTTCACGAGTCTACGGAAACCGCGGCAGACCAAACCAGATGAAAGTGCGCATTCAGCTCGGCAAAGAACTCATGCTCTTCCTCAACACTGAAGTCCTCAGACATTTTTCTTTCGTTGTTTCTTTCTTTGCACAGGTAAACAGCACATTTCTTCTTCTACGCTTGCATTATCGGCAGAGCAGACGCTGAATGCGCACTTTCATCTGGTTTGGGCTGCCGCGGTTTCCGTAGACTCGTGAACTTGCAGGCGCGCGCTTTTAGGAAAATCCTATACACTACTGTTTATGCTCTAAAAACATTCTAAATGACTTCGTTTCGAGTAAATTCTGGATGCTACCCACTCAGGACACTTGGAATACATTGGACGAGCAGTATGGAGGAATATTGACACGTTTTTTGTGGACTTTTATGGACCTTTCTGTCTCGGGCGCCATAGACCTCCATTATTTGAATGTCAGCAGACAGCAAGAAGCCTCCCAGATCTCCAGATGCATTTGAGATATCAAAAAAGTACTCCAGAGTGTTGTTCAGCATGGGGGTGAGTAGAAAATGAAGGCTAATTATGTTTTGGGTGTACTATTCCTTTAACATTAAAAATGATCTTTTTATTAATAATTTAAATACATTCAGATGACACAAGTCAGTCTGCAACAGCCTGGAGACCCCCTACAAATATTTATATATATTAGTTCATCATGTATTTAGGAATATAAAGTGAAGTAATTCATTTTTAAATGCATACATGTATTAGTAACAGTATTTTTTTATCATGTAATGAGACTAAATAAGATTAAAATGTAATGGCGCTTCCCACAGTTTAATGGCATATTCAGTATTTGAATTATCTATTAGATGAATAAATAAATGTTACATCAACTTTTATCTATTTGAGGATCTCACAAACATTTCGACCAATGATCTAAAAAAAAAAACCTTTTACACTATATTTAAATATGAAGAGAGACAATTATTTGTATTTGTTTTTGTACATTTTTTATATAGCCTTTCTGTTTATATTTACCATTATAACTTCATGTAACAGGGATTATTTGCATACAATTATTGGATGGTTTATATGCATACAATTGGTCAACAAGCCGAAGCAACGGAGTCAATTGGATGTGGAATTCGGGTTGGTTGCGAAAAAAAGAAAAGTACAAACTCAAGCATAAAAAGTTACAAAAAGATATTTGATTCAAGGAAGGAAAAAACTTGAGTTGTACTTGAAAAACAGTCTGAGTGTTTCCACAGTAGCATCTGGGTTTGTTTAGTTCAGTAATTGTCATAATCTTGGCACCTTAGGTTGGGTTTGACTCTTTTTTTTCTCTCACCTGCTTTGCTCTGCCCTGTGCTCATCAGCTCTAATCAGATCCACCTGTTCCTGCTTCTATTTAAGCCACGTGTTCCTAGCCATTGCTGCAGACTATTTGAGATTCTAACGAGACTAATTTAGCGTACTCTGTTGTGTTTAGTTCTGCCTGTTCCTGACCTGTTTCTTCCCCCCGGACTTCTGGGTTTTGGCCGCCCCTGTTCTGCTCCGTTTGCCTGTCCTGTTTTCCAGACTGTTACCTGGATTCCGCTTGTTGTCAACCTTGGACTCCTGACCACAGCTGGGATTTATTCCTCTGGATCCTTTGGTTCCTCTGGATGTTGTTGTTGCTGCTGCTGGTTGCTGCTCCTCTTCTCTCTTGGATCTCTGGTTCTGGTTTAGTAACAAGCTACGGAGTTCCGCTCCTCTGGACTTCACACCTTCTTCTGGGCTCACACTGATCTTTGCCAGGTGGGTGACTTTCATGCACATTGACCTTCCCCGTTTCAGTTCTGAAGTCACTGACCTGAGTCTCCGTTTCTGCCAGGGAGCCCGCCCATGATGACCAGCAACACGTTGTTTTTTAATAAATGCATGTATCAAACTATTGTGTCTGCTTGAATTCTAGGTCCAACTTTCTAAGTCCTCTGACAGTCATACTGCCAGCAGATGGTGCCACATCCGTAATGAGGTTCTATTTAGGCCCAAGAAGAACTATAAGGAGTATATAGGGTGTCTTTGATTGCAGAGGCTGCAGGACCCCGTCGACCTGGACTGGGTCCTTCTAGGTCCGTGAAAATAAGGAGGCTGGAAGAGTTTTGGCTATGGATTCAAACAGGTCTAGCCTTCTCCGGCTTTCACCGCCCATACGCTATGTTGCCTAGCAACTGTAACAGTTGACACACTAAGCAGACAAAGATTGGATAACGGACTTCTCACTACTGTTCTGGGTGCTTATAACATTTTCACGGCACTTCAGTAGCAGTACCATCATCTCTAATATCAGATTTAAAGTCCCCACACTGCAGAGCTATTAGAACCTGAGCTTAAATGTCAAATCATCTATTTACTCAGAGACGGATAAAACCTTTTAATAAACCAAACATTACCCCCCCAATCTGGCTCAATCATTTAAAACAACATTAATTTCAGATGGAGTTATTCACATATTTGTATTATATTAAACTGCAATTATAAATGTAAATCCCTTTATTGTCCTACATTGGGGAAATTCACTGTCTACATTTGACCCATCCCCTTAGGGAGTAGTGAGGTGCCATCGTGTGGCACCTGGGGAGCAGTGTGGGTTTAAGGATTATGGTCAGGAGCCCAGAGTGGAGCCTGTGGGGATTGAACCTGGTCTTTGCAACCTTCTCATAACACCAGCGTACTGCTCTAACCACTAGGCAAACACTCCTCCATAATATTCACCACTGTTCGGCACCATTTACCTTTTTCCTCTGAGCACAGATCAGCTGGCTTGCTTGGACTAGCAATGAATCACAAGATACCCAAGGCTACGTAGGAAACACCGGACCCGTCCTTCAAAACAGGCCTAAAGAATGCTACGTTTGTCGGCCGCATAACGAGTCTTCCAATCCGAACAGGCCCCAGCGCTGCGCTATGACATAATCGAACAACCAATCTGTCCTTCAGAGGACACAGCCAATTAATTCGAACTCCGCACTAGCCTTACTTTATCATAATCAAATGGATATTGGTCTTTTTGGCAAATAATGTGACTATATGAGCAATGGAGCATAAAGCTAAAGCTTGCTTCTGATATAAAAAGATGATGGGGTGGGGGGTGGGGGTTTGTTTTTAAATACAAACTGCTGGAATTAAACAGAAATACCTAATTTGAAAATATATTAATATAATTTAAAAAATCAATACTTGAATAATTCATTTATGAAATACTATGAAATATAATAATTATAATGAGCTGACAATTTTATATACCGTAATTTTCAGACTATAAGCCGCAACTTTTTCCCAATTTTTCGACCTTGCGGCTTATCAATGGGCTTTTACAGCTAACGGCCACTAGCGTAACACCTAAATCTATGGATTTTACCGTCCACCATGTTGACGTCACATTTGCTTTAACACACAAGTACGGTAGCCGCGCGCGGGGGAATGCGGAGGTCCTCCGGAAGCAGACTTCTACCGCGAGTGGTACGAGACAGAACGACAGCGAGAAAGACGGACATTAAACATAAAAGACCTGCGGCTTATAGTCCGGTACGGCTAATAGCCCGAAAATTACGGTACATTCAGTTATTTTACAGCTTTATAGTTACAATAACTATTTATGTATTATTTATTCAAGTAGATATTTAGTTTTCCAATTACATTTATTTACTTAATTTTGAACACTTTGGGTTCCTTAAAAAAATGTCTCTTTGGATTGTAAGGGTTTAAGACCTCAGCTCTGCTCTAGATAATGGATACTAGAGTAAACCCCAAACCATACCTTCGTCAAAGATGCCCAATATGGGAATCAGTGAATATGTGAAGAGCCAAAGTTTTATGCTTTTTGTGTCCAAAATAACATGACCCTCTGAAACCTTGACAACATACACTATATTGCCAAAAGTATTTGCTCACCTGCCTTGACTCACATATGAGCTTAAGTGACATCCCGTTCCTAATCCATAGGGTTCAATATGACGTCGGTCCACCCTTTGCAGCTAGAACAGCTTCAACTCTTCTGGGAAGGCTGTCCACAAGGTTTAGGAGTGTGTTTATGGGAATTTTTGACCATTCTTCCAGAAGCGCATTTGTGAGGTCGCACACTGATGTTGGACGAGAAGGCCTGGCTCTCAGTCTCCGCTCTAATTCATCCCAAAGGTGTTCTATCGGGTTGAGGTCAGGACTCTGTGCAGGCCAGTCAAGTTCATCCACACCAGACTCTGTCATCCATGTCTTTATGGACCTTGCTTTGTGCACTGGTGCACAGTCATGTTGGAAGAGGAAGGGGCCAGCTCCAAACTGTTCCCACAAAGTTGGGAGCATGGAATTGTCCAAAATGTCTTGGTATGCTGAAGCATTCAGAGTTCCTTTCACTGGAACTAAGGGGCCAAGCCCAGCTCCTGAAAAACAACCCCACACCATAATCCCCCCTCCACCAAACTTTACACTTGGCACAATGCAGTCAGACAAGTACCGTTCTCCTGGCAACCGCCAAACCCAGACCCGTCCATCAGATTGCCAGATGGAGAAGCGCGATTCGTCACTCCAGAGAACACGTCTCCACTGCTCTAGAGTCCAGTGGCGGCGTGCTTTACACCACCGCATCCGACGCTTTGCATTGCACTTGGTGATGTATGGCTTGGATGCAGCTGCTCGACCATGGAAACCCATTCCATGAAGCTCTCTGCGCACTGTTCTTGAGCTAATCTGAAGGCCACATGAAGTTTGGAGGTCTGTAGTGATTGACTCTGCAGAAAGTTGGCGACCTCTTCGCACTATGCGCGTCAGCATCCGCTGACCCCGCTCCGTCAGTTTACGTGGCCTACCACTTCGTGGCTGAGTTGCTGTCGTTCCCAAACACTTCCATTTTCTTATAATACAGCTGACAGTTGACTGTGGAATATTTAGGAGCGAGGAAATTTCACGACTGGATTTGTTGCACAGGTGGCATCCTATCACAGTTCCACGCTGGAATTCACTGAGCTCCTGAGAGCGACCCATTCTTTCACAAATGTTTGTAAAAACAGTCTGCATGCCTAGGTGCTTGAATTTATACACCTGTGGCCATGGAAGTGATTGGAACACCTGATTCCAATAATTTGGATGGGTGAGCAAATACTTTTGGCAATATAGTGTATGTAGGTGCCCTCATTTATTGAATCTATTTATACTATTACCTAAGCAATTAGTGGTCTATAAATCTCTTTATCAAAAGTCGGATGTAACCAACCTTTTCTTTGGTGGTTTTACTCATGGGCAGTTGCAAATGTGGTGTCGTACTGAGCAGCAGACGATAATTTTAACATCGTCCTAGTTTTCCTCACTCTGGCTTCCCTTTGAGGCCAGTGACCCAGCTTATTTTTCTTTAGTTGTTTCTTTTTTCTTTCAGTTCTTTCTCCATCCATCCTTTGGTACAATTACAGAAGGCTTGTGCACAATCCGAATCCGGATAGATCAGAGGAGATTTAATGCTCTCATACCTTTTGCATTCTTATGTTTTTGTTAAAGGGCAGCACTCACCTGAGGAGCAGCGATTGTTAGTGCAGTGTTGGCTAGTTCTTTGTCCTGAGATTTCTCCCGAGCCAGACGAGCAGCATCTTTAACCTCTTTGAACTTCTCTGAAAACTATTTAAAAAAAAGCCCAAAACTATAAATGGTGAAATATCTCAAGAAGAAGACAGGCCAGTCTTTCTTTTCTTGTTTAGTTTACCTGATGCAGCTGCTGTTCAGTAGCAAAACCCAGTCCATAGACAGTGTTTGCTCTGCTGTCAGCCCACTGACCAAACTTCTGAGATGTCTTAGTGAATGTCATGCTTGGTGTAACGGTGCAGTTGATAATTGCCTGTGGATGTAGAGGTAATATAAATGAATAACCTGAAACGCCAATAACAAAATAGAAAAATACTAAGGGTGAATCGTTCCTTATGTTCCTAACAGAGCACTTCGCTCTCAATCTACAGGTTTACTAGTGGATCCTAGAATTTCTAAAAGTAGAATGGGAGGCAGATCTTTTAGTTATCAGGCTCCTCTCCTGTGGAACCAGTTTTAGTCCGTGAGGCAGACACCCTGTCTACTTTTAAGGCTAGGCTTAAAACTTTCCTTTTTGATAAAGCTTATAGTTAGAGTGGCTCAGGTTATCCTGAGCTATCTCTATAGTTATGCTGCTATAGGCTTAGACTGCTGGAGGACATAGGGACCCCTTTTTCATCATTCTGCTTCATTCTATCTCTATTCTTCAACTCTGCAGAACCTGTTAGTTCAATCTCTAACCTTCTGCTCTCTCTGCTTTTTCTCATAGTAGCTTCATCTGGTCTGTTCCTGTTTGGCTGTGACTACATCCTGGAGAGAAATATCAGCTGTGCTGCTTCCATCAACACCTTTTTTATAGATGTTGGAGATCGGCCTGTTTTCCAGTATAGTCCTGTTTCTCTGACTGTAACTAACTGGATGTGCTCTCTTCATCCTCTGACATGGGAGCTGGCTCGGAGCTTGTCTGCCTGGCTGTGTGTTTCCTGGACGGGGCCGCCTTTTGCAGCTGCTTTTTTTATCTCTGCTTCTGTCTCCTTGAACCCCATACGGCCTCAGCAGATGGCCGCTCACACTGAGCCTGGTTCTCTCCACTGTCGCTACAAGCATGCTTAGTGTGAGTGATTGCATTCGACTCAATTAGTCAATGAAATCAACTGGTTTTCCTTAGATAGAAAACTTTGAATCAATTTGGCTGCATGATCTGGTGAACTGTAAAGTGCATTGAGATGACGTGTTGTGAATTGGCGCTATAGAAATAAACTGATTTGAATTCAATCGAATCGTATATTAATAACACGTTCATGTGCAATGATTCTAATTTGGTACTGAGCAGCACTGTAAGTTGTAAATACTGCTGATTGTATATACTGAGAAATGCAGCAGTATACGCTGTGGGACGGTTTATATGCTGGCTGAGGCACTAAGAGATGATTATCATAGAGAGATCACTAAAGTTTGTTGAAGTTTTGTGTTTTGGATTGAAGCTAACGTTTGTGTCTGAAGGCTTTTTAAATCAAAACTATTTGTGCTTTGCAGAGAAGTTGCAGATAAAGTTACATTATAGGCAACTTCAAATTCACACTTGCAAAGCACAAATAGTTTTGATTTAAAAAGCCTTCAGACACAAACATTAGCTTCAATCCAAAACAATTAAGTCATAATAATAATAATTGAACTCTATTAATCTCAGACTAGAGTAATTAACTCTATGCATTTAACCCATGTCCTTGCGGAGCAGTGGGCTGCCATTGTATGGCGCCCGGGGAGCGGTGTGCGGTTAAGGGTATTGCTCAGGGACCCAGAGGGGCAGTCTGTGTGGTTCAAACCAGGTACCTGCAAATTCTAAGAGCACAAGCGCACTGTTCTTACACTAGGCCAACACTTCCCTAAACAAGACGTCCTTGGATGGGCTTGAACCGCTAACCTTTCAGTTAACAGCCAAACATGCTAACCGATTGCATCACAGAGACTACGTAATTAATGTCCAGCTCTTACGTTTGCGGCTTTGTCATAGACAGTTGGCATCGATTCACTCTTTGATTCAAGGTCTGTGGAAAAGCAGGCTTTGAAATCAATCCTCTTTCAAATTCTCAGCACACCGAAGCAAAACCTCTAGAAGTTTTGCAGGTAGATTTCCATCAAAATTAAAATCAATCCACTGAGACTTAGGCCCCGTCCACACGAAGTCAAAACAAACACGAAACGCTAATATTTTCCAGAACGTTTGTCGTAAAGACGGAGACGTAAAATAAATGTGATCGTCCACACAAATGCATGAAAACGCTGCAAAATGTATGCCAGGCCTGTAAGTGGCGCTGTGGTGCCAAAGCAAAAATAGGCGACGAAATGTTGGCCATGCGCACTAATATTTATACATGGTTGCCCTGCGGGTCCATTTTCGTGGTTCAGTCAAATTCAGGTGCTGAACTATGTCGTCGATATTGCTCTGTTCTTCCTGGAGATATTCCAGAAGAAGAAGATTCTGTTGTAAGCCCGACAGCAGGGTGAGTAGCATGAGCAGGCAACCATTCAACACAGTACGGCGCCATTGTTGTTGTGATACTGTCGCGCATGCGTGTTTAGAGGCGACGCTATGACGCATGCGTGTAAGAAAAAAAAATGCGGTTAGAGCTTAAGGATGGAAACGCGAAAACGGCGTTTCAGAATCTTCCCACTCTGAAGGCTGAATAAAAAAAAGATCGTTTACAGACCCCCGAAACGCCGGCTTCGTATGGATGAGAGGCTGGTTTGGTGAAATATTTGTGCGTTTAGGCCAGGGTTTGACTTTGTGTGGACGGGGCCTTAAAGGAACACCCAAAACATGATTAGCCTTCATTTTCTACTCACCCTCATGCTGAACAACACTCTGGAGTACTTTTTTGATATCTCAAATGCATCTGGAGATCTGGGAGGCTTCTTGCTGTCTGCTGACATTCAAATAATGGAGGTCTATGGCGCCCGAGGCAGAAAGGTCCATAAAAGTCCACAAAAAACGTGTCAATATTCCTCCATACTGCTCGTCCAATGTATTCCAAGTGTCCTGAGTTGGTAGCGTCCATAATTTACTCGAAACAAAGTCATTTAGAATGTTTTTAGAGCGTAAACAGTAGTGGATAGGATTTTTTGTGGACTTTTATGGACCTTTCTGCCTCGGGCACCATAGACCTCCATTATTTGAATGTCAGCAGACAGCAAGAAGCCTCCCAGATCTCCAGATGCATTTGAGATATCAAGAAAGTACTCCAGAGTGTTGTTCAGCATGGGGGTGAGTAGAAAATGAAGGCTAATCATGTTTTGGGCGTACTATTCCTTTAAGGGCCTGGATGGAGGCAGTAAAAGAGACGATGCAGTCATTAACAGAGCCGCCGCGGTGCTCGGCTCTTAACTTAGCCCATGTCTGTTTGAATGCTCCATGTCGGTGAGCAGAGCTCCTGCTAGAGGGAGGGCTCAGATAGCCGGGGGAGTAGTTATTTCCCCACATTACCTCATTAAGGGCATGATTTTCACCAGAACTTTTATAGCACGCATGAATTAAGAGGTGGTGCAAGGCAGTGAGAGAGGAGAATGTTTTATTTTATTTATTTGTGTACCTCATGCACAGGCTTCAATACACATACGACGTACAAATCGTTTATAAAGTGAACTCTGGATAACACGGGACCTTTAAGTTCTTAGGAAAACTTACAACATATTTCGGCTAACATGTTCCACCAGTCGTGGATCCTTTAACAGGGTTCCTACAGCATAAGGAAAGTTAAATATAAGACCTTTTAAGACTTTTTAATGCCACTTGAAATAAAAATTTAAAACCAAAGCACAAAGAACAAAACAAATCAGTTTTAAAGCCACAACATAACCAGTGCCAAATCTTTTTTACAGCTATTTTTCTTTGTATCGTTTTTAGTATGTTTGATTTGGTGATAAGTGGAGGCGTTGCAGAGAAATACCGGCTGTTTCTCGGTAACTCCATTTTGACGCTTTGTGTTTCGTGCTTCGCATGTGCGACTCCACTGCCTTAATTCCCATCGTTCTGAGCTTGAATGACTTCTTGCACTAAATCCACTGAGCCTCATGTATGTTCCCTGGTTTTAGCCATGGAGAAAACTCTTGGCTGGAGACAATTTTGGTTACATTTACACTTGCTCATATTTTCCAGACAAAAAGTTAATGGTGCATCTCCCAAATGTCCCGGCAGCAACAACGCTATTGGTTCGGCTATCGGGACTGTAGGAGCCATTTATCCTTTGGTGTTTGTTGCCACCAGGGGGCGTATTTAATTTTGAGTTCGGAGTGTCTTATGGCGGATGGGTTATTTAAGGTCAACCATCAATTCTGTTCGGGTGTTGTTAATAGGCTGAGGCAAACAGTTTTCTACTGTGCTTGGTTTGGATTTATGGCGAATTTATGTGGATCTTAAGGGAAACATTAAGACAATGGACATTGTACTGAAAATAAATGACTTTATTTTATGTCAAACGGAAGATCGGCATTCTGAATATTAATTGAGCGCACGTAAAACCAATGCCTTCCAACAACAACCACCAGTAGCCTAAAATATAGGATTTTAGCCGCTACAGGGACGGAACCAATAATGGCGAGCCGTTATTTTTTTTAAATAAAAAAAAAATGTCAATTATGTTTTGTTCAGATTACAAAAATAAATCGTAATAAAAATTATCCTATTTATGATGTTTTAAAAATTAAGACCTACGAAAGACTGATTTAAGACATTTTAAAACCAATTAAGGCCATAGTTTTATTTTGAAGAATTCAATTCCTTTCAAGACTTTTTAAGGACCCCTGTTTAACGTCACAATCCTGAATCTAATTTAAAGTGGAAGACCTTTGTTTTTTTCTTTTCTTACCCCTCCAAGAAATTATTATGTCAAATCTAAACTCTGCATTTGAGCTGTGACACGTTTGGCACAACATGCTGGACAGAGCAACACTGAAGATTACTGTGGAAACCGACATGAGTGTTGGCCGCTGATCATTATCCCACGCTGCCCTCTCTGTGAGGCAGAAATATGGGTCATAGTAGGTGCTAAGAAGCCCCCTTCCCCCAGGCCTTGATGTGGCCTCCTCCTCATAATCCAAATCCCTGAAGAAAAGGGAATGTTGAAGCATATCTGCTGAGAAGCCACCCATGCCCCCACAAGAAACCTCTTAAATCCAGTTTACACCTCATTATGGGAATGGTGAAAGTTGTTTTTTTAGTACTTACTTTGGTTCCACCCACACTAATGATACGGTAGACATTGCGGTTGGCATCATAGAAGAAGGACACGGTGACGGCGTGCTTGCTCGCAGGTATCCAGTTCCTCTTGGTGGTGGGATCGATCTGGAAAACATGGGCGCGAGTGCTGAATATCGGCTGCTCCCTGGAGAGAGAACGACAAAAAGGATTCTAAAAAACTGGAAGCTTTGCTAACCCTTGGGAAAAGCTTAGAAAAATAAAATGAAACCCACAGCATGCCGTGTTGGTAAGAAAAGTTATACAGTTAGAGAGAGCAGAGAGCTCAGGATATCCGAGGTCATTTTACCTCATTTAATCAGCTGATTTTTCCCATTTTGTTGGAGATATTATGATTTCTGTTGTTTTTATCATTTTATTCATTTATATTGCTTTTAATCATTTATATGTTCTATATGTTACTCTCATCATTGGAAATAGTGTTTGAAGGCCATAAGACGGTCAAATGTTTTGTAAGAATGCTTTCCTGTTTTTCATTTGAGAAGCACAGAAGTGAAAAGTTCATAACCCCGACACCTTGTGTAAAGCGTATACTTCAACCAGGCAATTTCCCTATCTTAAAAGTTCATGTTATGTCTAAGAGATTGCGTAATCGAAACTAACGCTGTTTATTGTAATGTATTGACTGCTCAATAAAAAGCCTGGCAAGTGTTGAGCCAAGCGGAGATGCAGAGATTGATACTGTTCTCCCCTTTGCAAAGCATTTCAGGAAAAATCTTACACTGTCTTTGTTTCATTTGTTATAGGTTAAAGTTGGGGAAACTTAACAACCCTAACACATTTACTGCTTTTATTTTCAGCTTAAAAACGTAAAGAAGATGTTCATCACTTTTACCATGATTGATAATCTCTGGGGTTTATCAATTCATGGCATTTGTTCCTTATTTTTATTTGTAAACTCAAAACAAAAAGGACTTTTTTGGTCAAGAAAATTGAAAAAGTCATAAAAGCAGCAGCGTTAAAGATGTTCTTCATCCATCTTTGTTGAGTTTAAATGTAAAATTACTCAAACCAGGACACTTCTGTATAGCACAGTTTGAGTGATTGGGCGTCTCCCAGCAGAACTAGATTATTTCTGCCTGTCAGTGTGCATTTATAGCTGATCCTATTAGTGACAGTTATCCAAAAATATTGTCAGTAGATTAGTCATCTTAAACTCAGAAGTTCCTAGTTTGATTCCTGCTTCATTCTGTCGTATATCAATGTAATCTCATTACAATCAGAACTTTTCTAGACAGACTTTTTTTTATTAAATCAACATAAATCACAGCACAGGATACATTTACACTGTTATGGCTAATTTATACTTCTAACGCATAGTCTCTGCAACCGTAAAATCTGTCTCTGTGCACGACCACGACCCCAGCGCAGAGGTTCTGCAACCATCATCACGCACCTCAAAAAAATCCTGACTACACATCCGATGGTCGCAAACCCACGCAGACCTCAAGCGGAAGTGCGCAGACAAAAAGCAGCTGTGAGTGGTCCTTGGTATGCCTTTCCAGCTGTCTGTGTGGTCGTCCTTCTCGATTCGCTGCCGGGGCGCGCCATTTTTAAAAAGAGAGGAGTAATAACACCAATGGATAATCACGACGAAAGGTTGATCAAGGAGGTTCAGAAGTACAACCACTCGTACGATGCAGATGTTGCAGAAGCATACCAGCAAAACTGGTTCGCGACCAGACCCGAGCGACATTTGATGTGTGCGGTTGCAGAAGTATAATCTGCCCTTAAATGTACCGACCTAAAAGCCTCCCTCCCCTCACCCCCTCACACTCATTCACATTCACCCACATTGGATGAATTCGTTCATCCACAAATTACCTTTTGCAGAGTAAACATTTGAGAACTTCCTATCTGTTTTATGTTTTCTGGCTTTATTATCAGTTTCAACATTCATTTAACTTTTTAAAGTTAAAAGTGCTGAATAAATGTTTTGAAGAAATGAATACCAAGTGAGAATCTACTTTTGGCTTTAAAAATAAACCTTTTACCGAGTACAATGATTAAATTAACTAAATTCTCGTAATATTACAACTAGTGTTGCGCCAATGCCATTTTTTGGCCCCGATACCGAAACCCGATACCTGGCTGTGCAGTATCGGCGATACCATAATAATGTAAAATTATTGCCATCATGGCTTTGTCAAGCTGCTGCCTACCTTTGTGAAGCTAAAAAATCTAATACAAAGTGAATCCAGTAGAACTTTTTATTGCCTACCAGGAATGGGGTACAATAGTTGAATAAACTTATGGTACTCGCCGATACCGATACCACCATTTTACGGTTTATCGGGGCCCCGTCCGATACTGGTATTGGTATAACACTAATTACAACTTTATTCTCATAAAATTACGACTTATTTTCTCTTCTAGACATAGCTATGGGCTCAACTTTTACTGTGAGAAAGTATATGTGATCTCTTTCATCCTAGACAAAGGCAGCCAGGAAGCTAGATTGCTGTTAGCTTTTCTAGCATAGGAAGAGCTTATGGATCGGTGCTTCTATGTTCCTCAGCTCAACCAAATTTTAATTAAATTTTATGCCCTTCATTTCTGTCAATTCTATCTATATTGTTCCAATCAACAGTCCAGATAATCAGATCATTCACTCAACTATTATAAACTCATTGCAGCTTGGTCAGTGCTTTTTAGTCTCATATTGGTATTCATTGAGATTTTTTTTAAGTAATATAATAAATTTGTATTAATTATTATTTATTATTTCAGTTGTTTGCAATTATTAACCCAGGAGATTGCGATTATTTCAATTGTCGCACGGACCTACAGCTCACAATGTACGAAAAAACCGCGTGGTTTTATCGTACAGTCTGAGTTTACAACTGTATGATGTATGATGACATTAACGTAATATTAAAACTTTATTCTCGTAAAATTAAAACTTAATTCTCGTAATATTACGACTTTATTCTTGTAATTTAACGACTTTATTCTCGTAATTTTACGACTTTATTCACGTAATTTTATGACTTTATTCACGTAATTTTACGTCTTTATTCTTGTCATTTTATGACTTTATTCTCGTAATTTTACGACTTTATTCTTGTCATTTTATGACTTTATTCTCGTAATTTTACGACTTTATTAATGTAATTTTACGTCTTTATTGTCATTTTATGACTTTATTCTCGTAATTTTACGACTTTATTCTTGTAATTTTACGACTTTATTCTTGTAATGTAACGACTTATTTCTCGTAATTTTACGACTTTATTCACGTAATTTTACTTCTTTATTCTTGTCATTTTATGACTTTATTCTCGTAATTTTACGACTTTATTCTTTTAATGTAACAACTTTATTCTCATAATTTTACGACTTTATTCTCGTAATTTTACGACTTTATTCTCGTAATTTTACGACTTTATTCACGTAATTTTACGTCTTTATTCTTGTCATTTTATGACTTTATTCTCGTAATGTTAGGATTTTTTTCTCGAAATAGAAAAAACAATTTTTTGCTTGGCCCTAATACTCCAATGTCACAAATAATAATGAAAAAAAAAACTTAAATTCAGAATCAAAGTCCGTACATATTTCCATTTCCTCACCATCACATTCCCCTACCCAGTGATCAAATGTGCGAGTCACACCACAGATCAATAAATAAATTAAACTAATTGTGAGGAATTCAGATGAGTTGCTAGAAACATTTTAAAACCACAGAACCGCCCGTGAGTAATGGTGGGTGAAGAATGATTTAACTATTGTGGAGACCTTAGAAATGGCAGAATTAGAAGGGACTGCATTTTCAGGAATTATTAATGTTTCCTTACCCAGTATCTAAAATATATTAATCTCACATATATACATATATAAATAATTTACAAGGTCAAATTCTGCAGTTAGTCAATGAAAAAATGTTTTTAAACCTGTCAAATGCTAGGAAACAACTTAAAGAAATACGTTTTAGCCCAAACACGACCATTCTTGTCCATATTAAACCTTTTATTATTAATTCCTGTTGTTAAACGCTCTGATTCCAGTCAACACTTGCCAGTGCGAGTTGCTATTAAACACAAACACCAATTATTTGAAATTCTGCCTGAAACCGCTTTTAGAAACAAAGTTATTCTGTGAATTAATAAATAAATATGACATATCAAAGTGAGGGATAACCGCAGTGTTGCCTGAATGTCCTTGTTTATCAGATGCTTAAGGATATTAATAGTTCCTTTTATTTACAGTGGCTAACAAATCCTTTTATCTTACTTTCCAGCTCATATACCAGCACCTCCGGTTAAAGGGATAGTTCGGTATTTTTGACATGAATCTGTATGGCATCCCCATCACCAGTGGCATGCAATCACACTGACTTACCCCTGGCAGCGTCCTGTGAGCAGAGTTATCGTCCAGTTTTGGTCAAGCCGAAAGTAGTCCGGCAGGTTTTTAGGACCAGCGAAATAAAACTTTTCTCTTCCCAAAACATTATGTGTTCAAAAGAGTGATATTTTTGCATCCCAAAAACATTGTAGTGGAAAAAGTCACACGTCGTTATCAATTGGTCCTATTTTCTCTCTGTTCGTATCACTGCGCGCCGTCATTCAGACAGCGAGCTCAACAACAGCCAGATGCATGTCTCCCTCCGCCTAGCTCCTAGCTGGGCGGACCGAAACAAAGATTTGAGAGAGAAGAGAAAATATTTTAGAGAGAGTGCATGTTTGGAGTGTGAGCATTATAAGTTTTGAGTGCAAGAAGATGAAATTCTTTTTCTCAAATTGAAATGATGTGCTCTTGCATTATGGCAGGATAAGTCTCCCATATGTGCCACTAAGATACTCTAATTAGAGAGCAGTAGTGAAACTTCGATATTGTATTTTCATGGCCTAGTTTACCTGACAGGATGTTTACATAAATCTGTTTTTAGGCTTTGCACATATAAGATTTTTTAGGTATGGAGGAACAGCTCTACCGTATATAAAATAAATAAATAAATGCTCAATAAATAAATAAGCATTCAATTAATTACCCCCAAAAATACAATGAATAAATATGTAGGTAGAAATTAAATTATATGGTGAGACATAAATATATGTATCACTTAATTAGCTTCTTTATTTTTTCACCTTTTTTGTAAACAGTTTCATTTGTTGCTTGAATCGACTGTTTAATTGAGGTCTGAAGAAGTTTTCTCTAAGGGAGACCCTAAAGAAATAAGATGCCTTTTGTAGGGTTTTGTTTTCCCTAGAGATGTCCATTGAATGCAAACTCATAGCCATGTCTCCATGTGTAGAACACTACACAGTACCTTTAATTTGGTTCTAATAACAGCAGATTGTTTACTAGTTTGTCTACTAGTAATTAATTCAGTTTTTATTTTAATATGCTGATCATAAAGCAATGTTTACACTGTGTTATGTCATTGGCTGATCTTTAATAAATGTTTTAACCAGTGCATCAGACTCATTTTGAATTGATATTAGGTTGGTACAACGTTAAGTAGCTTCTGATGTAGTTAAGCTACTTTTAACACATTAGTGTAGCTTAGCTTGCTATAATTCTTTAGGTGGTAGCTTTGGTGTAGTGAAGCTTAATTTATTGTTGAGTAACTGATAGCTTAGCTCACTACACTGGACAAGTAGCTTGCCCAACACTGTAAGATACAGCTGTGATCTATCAAGGAAAATGTCTTGGTTTGATGTGTGCATGGTTTCACAAATCTAATTTTTTTTTGCATACTTTCACCTTTGGGGTTTGCAGACATTTTAAGTATGGATCCCACGCAATCCTTGATAAATGAGACCCTTAGTCCGAGCTTTAGACTAGGCCGCTCCCAGATCTTAACTTGCTGGTGTGGTTTAGATCATTATCCTCCTGCAGAACTTGCTTTCAGCCTGAGGTCACCAGCAGATGGAATTCCTGGTTCCATTTAACACAGCAGGTCTTTCATGCACCAAAACATCCCAGAATTTCAAACTACCAACCGCTATATTTTACTGTTGGTATGTTTACTTGAGCTGTGAAATGGGACATACACGCTCTAAAAAGTTCCACCTCATGTCTCATTGTCAAAGAAATAGAATTGTACAGATGTGTTTTGGAAAAAAATGAAATATGACTTTGTTTTTTGTTTGTTGTTGTTTTTTCCTCTTGGATTTCTGCCATGTTTCCATTTTTGCCCCATTACTCTGTGTGGGCATTAAGTGAAGTTCTTTGGATGATGTGGTGGGATCTTTGATACTTCTTAAATACATCATTGTCGCACTCTTGGGTTAATTTTGTGCAGCCAACCGCTCTTGGGAAGGTTTCACACAATTCCATTTCATCAACTTTTCTGGATAATGCCTCTCACTGAGCTTTGCTGGAGTTCTGACGCTTTAGAATAGGCCTTGCAGCTCTTATTACTTTCCTCCTCATTCCTTTCTGATTTTTTTTTTTGGATCATGGCATGTCTGGCTTTAGAGGTTATTTTGGTTTATTTCTCTTTGTCAAGTCATAATTAGGTGATTTCTTCATTAAAAACATGTGCTATTTCAATCAGGCCTGGGTGTGGCTAGAGAAAGTGAATAAAAAAAAAGTGATAAAACAAGTAAGTCAGGGCTCGATGTTAACAATCGCCCGATTGCCCGGGGCAAGTAGTTTTTATTGTTGGGAGAGGCAGGCAAGTGTAATGATCGCAAAACAAAATTATTTATCACTCAAAATTACTTTGAAATCACCGACATTCGCTGAAAACGACCCACAAGCGTTAGCGGCGCCATTTTTGTTGTTTTGTACACATTCTCGCGTGATTTGAAAAAGCCGCATGATTTTCCGCCAGATGGTGTGGTTTTTGTCCACCTAGCGTTTAATTTTGATGTAGTTACCAAAACGACAAACAAGCTAGCAAGCGCTATCATATGGCAGTCTTCCGTACAGTGATGCAGGTCATACATTAAAAATGTTCATTACATTTTTTTCTCTTAGACATTGGAGAGGTGCATTTAAATGTTATAGAGCTAAACATGTTAGATTGGTGACCTGTTATGTTATTATTATTGTCTTGTTGCTGCATTTATTTTGTCAGGGAAAACTAATCCTGAGTCAGTTAAAAGTCAGGGAATTTTGAAATTATGTAAGACTGCGGAAACCCTGAATAAAATAACTATGTATAATGATTCTCTAGAAAAGTCACATTATATTAATAGTATTATCTTGTATCAACAGACCGTGACTCTAAAATAAAAGTTATTAATTTATGACATTGACTTCTGTCTTGTGATTTATCTTAAGTTTTTAACCTGTCAAGTTTTTTTTTGATTTTTAACATTACAATTTATATTTTTCCAAGCAGACAACAGTTTAAAGCAAAGTTTAGTTTGAAAAGAATGTGCAGGAAGGATTGAAAAGCATGTTAACACGGTAATGTAGGCTTGAGTTCATTATCTGACGCATACAGATACACACCAGGAACCTGGAAACTTAAAAAATACAGAATTACAAAAAACATTTAAAAAACAAACATGTTTCACTGATATATATATACAAAAATGAATATTAGGAACTATATTTATCAAACATTATACTGGGCAAGTAAAAATTGTTTCTGGGTAACTGAAATGTGAAAGTCACTTGCCCAAAGGGCAAGAAGCCTCCCAGATCTCCAGATGCATTTGAGATATCAAAAAAGTACTCCAGAGTGTTGTTCAGCATGGGGGTGAGTAGAAAATGAAGGCTAATCATGTTTTGGGTGTACTATTCCTTTAAGTGGCAGTGGGAACAGCTCACTGACTCGAGTCTAACCGGGTCAAACGACTCGACAAGTGACCCCTGTTAAAAAGGCCTCGGCTCCGATCAACATGCTGTGGGAAAACCAGAGCAGGGTTGACCCGCTAATCTACGTAATACCATTGAACGCAACGTACAGAAGTCAACACACTGCGCCAGTTGTGTCTGATCTAACAAGCAGAAACAACTTTGTTTACATTCGATCTAATGATAGGGATTCAGAGGGACAAAGGAATGGAACAATAAATCACACTGACTGTGTTCTGCTGGAGATTTCTTCCTGTTAAAAGGGAGGTTTTCCTCTCCACTGTCGCTACAAGCATGCTTAGTGTGAGGGATTGCATTCCAATCAATGAGTGGATGCAATCAACCCGTTTTCCTTAGATGTTTGAATTGTAAAGTGACTTGAGATGACATGTGTTTAGAAATAAACTGAATTAATTTGATACTTTTTGTTTCATTTAGAAAAAGTTAAAAAAGTATCCTATAGTCGATTCTGATCAGGAATATCCTTAAGATTATGGGATTAGAAAAGAGAAAACCATGTAGACTAATGTCAGACTAATTATATCTGAATAAAGGGAGTGTTGGAAGTATTTTGTTGTTTAGGTATTATATCACAGAGGGAGAAAAAATTAGAGTCAAAAGATACCAAAGAATCGGGTCACTGATCCAAGGACTTCTTTTTTTACCTTTCTCTGTGGTGAGGAAACATCTTAGAAGGTGACCGGAACTCCTTTGCTGGAATAACAGAACAGATGAGATTTAGAACCGAGGAAAGGAGCAGACTATTTTAACTGTCCTCCTCCATCTAAACTTACCCCATTTCCTTTGGTAAACCTTGTTGAATGTTATTAAATAACTAAAGCCGGCCGCTGTCTCGGTAGGTCTCCGTTTTTCCCTCCAAACCAGCAGATAACTTTAATCCCGCTTTATTCTCGGCGCTGCTCCCAGTCCGCCTCTCAGGAGGCAGCAGCTGACCTCAGTGACGAACCAGGACCGGATCAGCCGTCAGGTCAAACAACACGCATCCGCTCCTGTTTTTCCCTCTTTTTTCTGATTCCTCGCTGGAAGCTGGAGCTCTCAGGGTTCCTGCAGTTTCCCAGCGCTTCTCTCAGCCCGGCGGTGGAGCAGCATGCGGCCGTCAGCGAGCAGAGAGCCGATCCAGCTGCATGTGGCAGGCGGTGAGGTGAAGCACGAAAGTGTGTCACCCTGCCTGCCTGCAGCCGGGCGCAGCGCGCCCCCGGTGCGCGCGCGCTAGGCTGAAGGTTTTAACGGGTGACCGATGCGGCGCGCGGGGAAAAGTCACGCCTTCATAAAAATAAAAAAATATCCACTGCAGCCCAACTCCTCCTCTGGAAATAATTAGTTCATTCAAAGCAATAAACCAAATAAATTTAATATGATACAAACAGATTAAAATGCAGCAAAAACAAAACTGGCAGAAATATGACAGAAAAAAAAAAAAAATTCTAGGAAAAATAAAATAAAAAATACACTAAATTCAAAAGGTGATTTTTTTTTAACATTTATTGCCTTTTCATCACTGACTTACTTAACTGTACTTTTAGAGATTTTTTATTTGTTTAATTTTAATTTTTTGTTTTGAGAATTATATTATGAGAATAAAGTTGGCAAATTACGAAAATAAAGTCATCATACCACAACCCGTTTCAGAAAGAAAGCCTGGAGCTCCGACCAGCTCCACCAATCAGCAACCAGAGTCCACTTTGACTTCCGGTTCAGTTTGACGCTGCTGTTCTGCCAAAGTATAACTTCACGTGATGCTCTACATTCTTTATTTTAGGGAAGAAAGTGCTTCTTTTAAGAGTTGTCATCAACTTTATTCTCTAATGTTACGACTTTATTCTCGTAATTTTACGACTTTATTCTCGTAATTTTACGACTTTATTCTTTTAATTTTATGACTAAAAAACCATTGATTTCTGTTTATTTGAATGGAGTGAATAGTTGAATACTTTTTACACTCATAAAGGTCTTCTCCATCTACTGTGCTAACTGCAAGCATGTCTTTTTCTGTCATGTTAGGAACCTTCTTCTCTGGCATCCAGCCACTCTGGCTTTGCTTTTATCAGTGAGGTTCAGCTTAAGAAAGAACAGCAGCACACTCTGCTGGACGTTAGTAATATTACAACCCTGAAAGATATTCCTCTTAAACAGATATGATCAGTTAATAGGATGGAGCAGATTTTAATAGCATCACTGAATAACAAGGAAAACAAAAATAAAAAATGATCTCTATACATTGATAACACCTGACAGACAGAGAAAGAGTCATTTTGTTGAAGCATAAGCAAACACAACATGTTATTCTAACATCTTCAAATATGTATTTGGTCTTTATCTCCATAAATGAGCACCTCCAGACCTATTCAGATGGGATGTTCCAGAGCTGGGAGTCTCCTCTTGGCCTTGGGTGACATAGAAGAACCCGGGCGTATCAGGCTGTGGCCACTGGAAGCTGAAGCCGTTCTTCACCTGGTCGGCTGCAAAGAGAGCAAATAACCACAGTTATCGTCCATCCTCAGAGATCTACAGTTAGTCTCTCATCTTTAATCTGTTATGAAAGTTCCTTTTACTTTGGCTGAGTTATTGGACTGTTTACCAAGTTAAAAGGCAGGTCCCAAATAATCAAGAACACAACTGAGCTTGTGTGTTTTAGATAAATTTAATCTCTGGAACATTTGCATTTCTAAACAGTCTAAAGGTTTTCCTTTATCCTCCCAGATAAACATTAACATGAATGATGAGAATGACGGTTTCGATATCCTGTTTTGCTCAGTTGCACTTAAATAGAGATTTTTGTTTTAGCTCTCTGCATAAAGTACGGGTCAGCACCAGGTTCTAATGATATTACGACCTTATGGTTGTAATACTAACATCATGGATTATTTTATATGTATCAAATTTCAAAACGTGAAAGAAAAAGTAATAAGATGTACTGCACATAATGGATGCATGATTCATGTCTTTTTTTAAATTATTTTTACTTAAGATCCACTTCCAATACTTTATATTTAAAACCAGTTAGGGTAACGGGGCTAAAGCTAAATTGTTTCACTCATAAATCACTGACTTTAAAAAACCAAACAGTTTTACAAACAGAATAGAATCAAAAAAAGTTTTTAAACAGCAAAGTTAAAGAGAGGTATAAAGAGTAAAGATTTCTACAAGGTAAACATAAACAAATAGGTGACTGTATTTAAAGAAATATGCGAACAAGTAAACGAACAAGATTAAACTACAACATGTCTTTATATCTATGCATGAACCAATAAGTTAAAAAAAGTTAATAAATTGTTTTAAACTCTTTTTGCTATGGGGTTCCGTTGGTGCCAAAAATATGTTTATGTGTCTTCTGGTGTGTCCATGTATAGTGCTTATGTAATGGAAGCTGTATATGTAGTGGTTTAAAGTCTATATGTCAGATGCATATGTTTTGTCGATATGCTGTGAGCGTATGTATTGTGTCTACATGAGGGATAACGTGCATTGCATTATTCTTCACTTTATGTTGTTTGACCATGTTGTTGAACCCGTCAGCATGTGATCTCGTATTGCTGTCGTTTCCTTTGTTGTTACAGCCTGTCGTTCTCCCCTGTCGTCTCCCTCTGCTGTTATACCTGTCGTTGTCCCTTCATCTCCCGCTGCTGGTACAACCTGGCGTTACAACCTGTCGATGTCCCCTGTCCTCTTCTGTGTTGTTACAACTTGTCGTCACCTCTGTCGTCTGCTGTGTCGTTACAACTGGTCTCCATTATACTTGTCATTGTCCCCGTTAACGGGGCGTTGCACTGCTTTTACAATGGTGGGTTGCTGCTGCCGTCTTGTGCCGTTACCTGGTTTCATTTGCGAGCGGTTGGCTATTTTATCTATATTGTTTTAATCTTTAATGTCACAACAGTAATAACTCCCTTCAAATCTGACTTTTCACACATATTAGCTCTGGTAAATGCCTTAGTTTTTCACTTATTGACCAATGCGGTCATGATAAAATAATGTACACACTTCCGGTTTAACGGAGATTTCAAAATAAGAGTCAATGACACAAACGCCTCTGCTGTAAAATTGAGCTTCAATGAGCATTACCATGGACAGGCTGTAACAGCAGAGGAGACAACAGGTTGTAACGCCAGGTTGTACCAGCAGAGGGAGATGACGGGACAACGACAGGTATAAGAGCAGAGGGAGACGACTGGGGAGAACGACAGGCTGTAACAACAAAGGAAACGACAGCAAAACGAGATCACATGCTGACGGGTTCAACAACATGGTCAAACAACATAAAGTGAAGAATAATGCAATGCACGTTATCCCTCATGTAGACACAATACATACGCTCACAGCATATAGACACAACATATGAATCTGACATATAGACTTTAAACCACTACATATACAGCTTCCATTACATAAGCACAATACATGCACACCTTACATAGACACATGGACACACCAGAAGACACATGGACACACCAGAAGACACATGGACACACCAGAAGACACATGGACACACCAGAAGACACATAAACATATTTTTGGCACTAACGGAACCCCATATTTTTCCAGTTTCATCGTTTCTTTTTTTATGTTTAGAACTTTTCATTCAGTTTCAATGTTGTCGTGGGGGGGGGGGGGGGGGGGGGCAATATAATTAATCAGGTTCAGTTATTTCCCTTTGAACAAATTTTATGACCCCCATTTAGCTGCATAAACATGTAGGTTAAAATGAATAAGTAACTAATTATTTTGGTTGGTTTATTGTCCTTTTTTTCGCAGCTTTTTAATGGTTTTCCAATGTGATTCAAAATCTGTAATTTTGAAATTATACAAGGAAGGTATGTCTTTGTTTTCTTTTTCCAAATCATTTTAAATTTAATTGAACCAATTCTATTTTATCATTGGCTGTTACGTAAGTAATTTCCTCACAAAGATATATTTTCTTTTAATGTTTTGTGAAGCATATCTTTGTAAAATGAAGCAAAAAGAAGCAATTTGGACACAAACAGTGTTTACTCAATAATTTTACCTTCGCTTCCACAAACTATACAAATGTTGCTCACATTATTTGGGAAGAATCATATGAATATTTGCTTTTAAAGGGGGATAGCAACTTACAATTCTGTAGAGATTCTCTTTGACATTGTCAGCAATTATTACTAACAATTGTTATTTTTATTATTACAACAATTTTTAATTATATATTGATAAGGTATATTAGGAATATTAGGTTCATCAGTTTCTTGTCCATGAGAGTCCATCGGTGTTTACCAGACAGAAATGCATACAGAAATGTAAAAAGGGTAGGCAGAAATAAATAGCGCCGAAGAAATAACTAAGGTAAAAAAAAAATACAAAGGAAGAATAAAACAGACAAAAATATTATAACATGCACATAAATAAATACTTAAAAATGTAAGTAATTAAAAAATAAAGTTGAAGATTATAAAGGACAAAAAAATAAATAAGGTAAATATTACAAAGGCAAATAAATAAAGAAGCTAATTAAAAGAGTTATATACATTTATGTCTCACTGTATAATTTATTTTCTACTTACATTTATTTGTTAATTGTATTTTTGTTGGCAATTAATTGTATGCTTATATATTTATTGAGCATTTATTTATTTCTGTATTCATTTTTAAATATGGCAGAGTTGGTCCTCCATACAGAACAAGCTGGTTTCTGATAAAAATATTGTTCCATCCCTTATCTGCAACTGGGATGCCAGTAATAGTAGAAGAACCGATTGTACGGGTACTTCTTGAGAAGCATCAATACCAAAGTATTCCATAAAGTACTACTTCATTTTAGTAAGATTCATCCTTTGCATAGATTTTTATTTTTATTTTGTTAAAATTGTTGTTTATTATTATGTATCTATTTGCACATAAAGCAGTGTAAAAAAAAAAAAAAAGGATGGGTTGGGTTTTTGCAGCCCCTTAAGACCAACCCAACCCTTTTTAATGGTTGAACAAAACAAATCAACTTTAGTAAATCACATATTACATTAAAATAAACAACAATCTCCTTTAAAACAATAAAATGAAACATTTTATATTTATTTATAAGCTCAGACATTTATTTTACTGTGTAACAAAATTCAACATTAAACTAACCCTCTAAATGAGTCATTTAATGACCACGCCTTCCCTGCATCCCCCACTAGGGGGCACACCACCTACTTTTGGAGCAACTGTGTTAAAATATGACCTTGTACATGGTTTACTACTTTGGCTTATCTGAACTTCTCTCTTTCTTAGTGCAGAATCAGGGCATGTTTTTCTGACTTCTTACCTCTTTTGTTGTCAGTGGATTAGGAGCCTGATTAGCGTCTCAGCAACATTTAGTAACAGTATCATCTGAGGATGGGGCTCTCTGTGCGTTACCAGAAAACTGGGGTGTTGATGATGCAGAAGAAAGGAGTCTGAAGTAAAGTCTAAAGATATTTTGACTGTCTAACCTTACATCTATCTCACACTGTCTCTGATTGGTCGGTCTGCCCTCCTATCCTTGAAGGAGGCTGATGTAAGATGACCGTTTTGTTCTTAGTCACACATGTATGGAGTGAATTTTATTTCATTATTAACAGAAAGAACAATTTTTGCAAATAGAAAAATATTAAATTCCATCCGGAAATTAACCTTTAAACTCTTCTTAATTAATAAAAAGGTTTTAAAATTAACTTTGCAGTTTTGTCAGGTTTTACTTTTACCACTTTTAATTTTGTCGGGGGAAAAAAATCTAATTATATTTTTCAAATAATAATGATATTGTTTTATAAATTTTTGTGCAGATCTTATATTTTTGATTTTTCTTTCTTGATTTTCTTTCTTTTCTTATTTTTTTATCTTTTGTTTTTCAAATTTAATTTTACAAATTGCATTTTTTTGTTTTCAATTGATCACACTCTCCTTACTCCAAGCCCAATGCAATAATCCACATTGATCTATACAATGTTCTTTTTAACGTCCATGTAGACCAATAGAAACTTTGAGAAAACAGCAAAGTTTTCAAATTTTCAAAACTATTTCTCGATGAGATTTTATTTCTGGATTCATTTTTTTTTTCTCCAAATTTTAATATGCAAAACTAATTTTTTGCTTGCAAGAATATGGAACAAAATTCATGCCATATATCTCTCATATCTAATGGTTGTGCACTTTAAAAAAATATGCAAAAGCAAATCATTACGAGCCATTCATGTATAACCAATCCTTTATTATTTTCTATAAATGTTGGAAATGTAATGGTTGTGTTTGGCGTTATAGTTGATGACTGCAGAGTTTCTTGTCTTTTTGCTCCTCTTCAGTGTAATCAGCCTCCAGCCAGTTCAGCATTTCCTTGACAACAGCCTGAAGACCTCTGCCCAGCTCAGTCTTGCTGTAGGGTCCTCCTAATGGCGGCACATGGACAAAGGCGGAGCGACCGTGGCCCTGGTGCAGCGACGTGTAGTAGGTGTAATCACAGAGATACCTATTGGGTCCAAAGCACGGTGGTTAGATGTAAAGTCGGGTTCGGCTTCTTCGTTTTCCACCAAGCAGCTAAACTGAAAACGTTCTGCACGAGTAAGATGAGTCACTTGCCTCCCTGCGTCCTCAGAGACGGACACGGTTACTCCGATGTTTGACTCGTTGACCTTTTTGCATACCGTGTGCATGTCTATGACCGACTTTATGCTGTCGGCTCCGTTCTCCATGCAGCAGTGAGAGGCTGGGCAGAAGCTGCGGTTGTCCAGACGTTCGTAGCCCTTGTTGTGTCCAAACTGCTCTAGAGTGACGGAGGTCGCCAACCCGGAAACGCCCACATGGACAGCCAGCTGCTCACAGGACAACAATCACTAATTATAGCCCTTTGTTGCCAGCATTATTAGTGAGTCCTGATAAGACATTATTATCACCTATTTAAATGGTGTTAGAGTCAGTTTTGGACTCAAAAGTGATTAGAAAGTTTATTTTTACAGGATGGACAAAAGCATGGCACTACGGATTTATGAAACAACGTCTGGGTGACTGAGTTTGTATTTATTGCAGATTTTAACAAATCCCCGCTTACTTTAATATATTCCCACAGGCTAAAACATAATCAAACCCCCACTAATATGCGATTAGACATCTCTGCAAACAAAGAAACCAAAATGCTGCGAGAACATTTGACCACTCTTCTGATTGGAGAGGGAAGATATCCTGCAGGTAAATCAGTTTCCTGCTATGAATTCACATGAACCTAGCCTCGTGAGACCATCCTGATCTCGCGAGCTTTCAAGGTTTCACTCGCAGATCAGTCTGGAGACTCTCCGTTAAATAAAATTTGGAGCCGTTCACCAAACGAACGTCCAATCAGCGTTGGCTTTGAGGCGGGTTGAGGTGTGACGCAACGAGAAGCGCGACAGTTCAGTCTAAAGAACATGGCGGCTTCAGCAGATGAAACTATCGTTAGCGTGGCTATCGAGCAAGTTTTATCGGAATTACAGAGTATTTCTTCACTGAAAGAAGAGCAAAACACTGCTCTGGAGGCTTTTCTCAGAGGAAAAGATGTTTTTGCTCTTCTCCCCACTGGTTTCGGCAAGAGTAGCCTGGCTTGTGGTTGTGTTTTCGTCGTCGCTCTGTTAGTACGTCATATGCTTCGTTGATCTGATTGGTTTATTTGGCCCGTCTATCACCAACATAGGCCAATCAGCTAACCAGTATTTTCGCCCCTTCCCAAAATTACTTCAATGGAAGGTTTCCAGATGGATATGCGGAGCAAATCCATCTGGATTTGATCCATTAAAATATCCCAATATCTTCATATGCTGATATATTGCCATTTAAAAACACCATATCAATCTCTTTTACTAACGAAATATTGCTATATGTCATCGTTATGCTACGAAATCCCCCGAAAATTCACGAAGTTTTGCCATATTTTTATATGTTGATATATTGACGCGGTATCGATCTATTTTACTAACAAAATCTCACAAGAATTTGCAAAATATCAGGAGAGTTTGTAACAGAACGATGAAATTTCACCAGATTTTGAAAGTAAAATAGATCGATACCACGTTTTTAAAAATCTATTTGATGTCAGCATATGAAAATATATTTGAGTGTATTATCTTTCAAAGTGTCAGAAATGGATAACAAAACTGCTATTTTCAATGACTACTTATTTTTGTCCAGCTTAAACATCAGTATCGATATCGGTTATCGGCTACATGAGTTTTAAAATATCGGATATCGGCCAAAATCCCAATATCGTGCATCCCTAGATCGAATGTTGTATAAAAACACAAATAACTCTAATAAAACATGGTAATAATGAGTGTCTGTTGCTGGCTGAATCTATGCTAGGTTAGATACCTGAGGCTGGTGCTGTTTCCACAGAGAGGGCAGAATGCTCTGAACAGCCAGATAATCGACAGGTAGCTCACACACATGAAGCTCTGCTGCCTCTCCCAGTCCTAATCGCTCCAGTTCCTTTGAGAGAACAAACAGTTAAGCAGAATTAATTGGAAATTATAATGTTTGTTTGTAGTCCAGCAGTTTTTCCCCCTGGCTTCTTGGGCCCTCTTACACCTAACATTCGATCATCAGTAAAAAATCTTGGTGTAATATTTGATGACAGGTTGAAATTTGATCGCCAGGTTATTTCGGTCGTAAAAAATAGCTTTTATCAGTTAAGAATTTTATCAAAAGGGAAAGGGTACCTGCCTCAAAAAGATCTGGAGACCGTAATCCATACTTTTATCAATACGAGATTGGATTACTGCAGCTCTTTATATGCTGGCTTGGACCGCTCACTTTTACATCGTCTGCAGTTGGTACAAAATGCAGCTGCCCGTCTCCTAACTGGCACACGGAAACGTGACAACATCTCCTGTTCTAGCCTCACTGCACTGGCTCCCGGTTGTTTTTAGGATAGATTTTAAAATTTTATTGTTTGTTTTTAAAGTTCTTAAAGGAATAGTACACCCAAAACATGATTAGCCTTCATTTTCTACTCACCCCCATGCTGAACAACACTCTGGAGTACTTTTTTGATATCTCAAATGCATCTGGAGATCTGGGAGGCTTCTTGCTGTCTGCTGACATTCAAATAATGGAGGTCTATGGCGCCCGAGGCAGAAAGGTCCATAAAAGTCCACAAAAAACGTGTCAATATTCCTCCATACTGCTCGTCCAATGTATTCCAAGTGTCCTGAGTGGGTAGCGTCCATAATTTACTCGAAACGAAGTCATTCAGAATGTTTTTAGAGCATAAACAGTAGTGTATAGGATTTCCTGAAAGCGCGCACCTGCGCGTTCATGACGCTATGGAAGCCGCGGCAGACCAAACCAGATGAAAGTGCGCATTCAGCGTCTGCTCTGCCAATAATGCAAGCGTAGAAGAAGAAATGTGCTGTTTACCTGTGCAAAGAAAGAAACAACGAAAGAAAAATGTCTGAGGACTTCAGTGTTGAGGAAGAGCATGAGTTCTTTGCCGAGCTGAATGCGCACTTTCATCTGGTTTGGTCTGCCGCGGTTTCCGTAGACTCGTGAACGCGCTTTTAGGAAATCCTATACACTACTGTTTATGCTCTAAAAACATTCTAAATGACTTCGTTTTGAGTAAATTATGGACGCTACCCACTCAGGACACTTGGAATACATTGGACGAGCAGTATGGAGGAATATTGACACGTTTTTTGTGGACTTTTATGGACCTTTCTGCCTCGGGCGCCATAGACCTCCATTATTTGAATGTCAGCAGACAGCAAGAAGCCTCCCAGATCTCCAGATGCATTTGAGATATCAAAAAAGTACTCCAGAGTGTTGTTCAGCATGGGGGTGAGTAGAAAATGAAGGCTAATCATGTTTTGGGTGTACTATTCCTTTAATGGTCTAGCCCCCCAGTATTTGACTGAGCTTCTCCAAATCCATGCCCCGGGCAGAACACTGAGATCCTCTAATCAGATGCTACTGGCGATGCCTAAAACCAGACTTAAAACCAAAGGTGATCGTGTCTTTATGGCAGCGGAATAACTTGCCTTGGTATGTTAGATCAGCAGGCTCCTTTGAGGTTTTTAAATCCTCTTTAAAATCACATTTCTTCTCCCTGGCTTTTAATCATGTCTAAGTGGACATTTGGCAAAATTTTATTTTAAATTTTATTTTATTCTAAAATGTATTTTAATTGAAACATTTATCCTTTTCTATTTTTATGTGTTTATGTATTTTAGCCTTCAGCTTTTATCTTATGTTCCTTAACTGTGATTCCTGTACAGCACTTTGTTCAACCCCGGTTGTTTTAAATGTGCTTTATAAATAAAGTTTGAGTTGAGTTGAGAATTCTGCAGCCAGAAACACCTACAGACCTCGGTACACCCATTATTTCATCATTTGAAGCTGCAGACGTGGTTGCCTGTTTGCATTTTTAAATACGTTATATGTGAAATATAAAACTCTTCAGTCTGAATTTTTGCTGCCATTACTGTCATCTTTGCAAACATTTGTACATTGACAGAAATGTTGTCCTGCAGGTTTTGGAGCTTCCTTGCTTTGCAGGGAGAAAATACACATTGCTTTAATATTAGTGATTAGTGAAGAAATATTGATTTGCTTGGAAGTTTGCAAAATAAAATAAAAAAAAAGTTTTATTTCTGCTCTGAAAGAAATAATCCATCTAAGACAATTCTGTCAATTTGGGTCTGAAAATGATCATGTGTTTAAAATCATATTTGTCCTGTTAAGACTTCCCTGCATAAAAGTGTTGCCATCAAAATAGCCTGAAATTTAAAACTAAACTAAGCTAAAGAATCCACTTCTGTCCATGAGAAAAACTGACCAGAGGCTGCAGGGATCACAGAGCAACGGTGTCAGCATGGAAAACTGCATATGATACAATAAAGACATTCTAAACATACATTTCTATCTGCAAATAAAAAACTAAAGCAGATTTAAAATAGATATTGTGAGTATTTTTGGCATTTAAATCTAGAACTATCTAAAAAAAAAGAATGATCTCTGCCTCTATTTGCCTTAAGCCCTATTTTAAAATGTACACTGATTTTAAAAAAAACACGTCAGTTAAATAATCACAGGCGACCAGGAGACAAAAAGGCAGAAAAAGAAATGTATTTTAACATTAATTTTTTTTTTTTACACACTGTCCCTGCAGGATTGGCTGCAGGTGCATCAATAATACTACCTGCACTGCCACCCAGCTGGAGTTTACTGCGTGCTCACCGAAGGGCTCAAAACCTGCAGGAAGAAGGAAACAGAACATGAGGGAGAAGCAGGAGTTATGGGGGGAAATTTGATCCAGGAAAAAAAAAATTATAAATATAAATTTGAAAAAGAAAGAAATTTAAAAGTTAATTTGCTGTTTTCTCAGTGGTCTTGAACTTTCTTTTTAAATTTATTTTCATATTTTGCTTTTCTGAGTTACACAATTTTCACTCTTTTTAATTGCATTATATGCATCAAATTCTCTTCCCATCTGGGGGCGGGCTTTGTTCTGGTCACCATAGAAACACATTTTTATTGGCCATATTTGGCTTGAAGGGAAGAGAATGTGGTCTGTAAAATGCAATATGAAGAGAATGTAATTTGTAAAACTCAGGCTAAGATTTAAAATATAAAATCAGTTCATAAAATAAAAAACAAAAAGTAAAAGTAAAAAAAAAAATTGTTTTAATAGGAAACAGCAAATTTTCTCTGAAATATCTTAATGATTAAGAAGTTTTTCAGTTCCATTTATGGGTTTTTGTTTTTCAAATGTGTTCAAAAGTATTTTTTTTTTTAATTCCCACTTTAAATTGGATTTTTGCTTTCACCAATAATAAAACAAACTTCACTCCATATACACATGCAGACCTGTTTCAGATGTCGCCTTAGAGTTTTTACAGAGTCTAAAGTTTACATCAAGTTAAACATTAATTGCAGCAGAGCAAAAATACAAATTTATTCCTTAAAGTTTCGTATTTACAACAGAAAATTACTTTAATGTTTATCAGTGTTTGATAGACATTGAAAAATTGTGCATTAAGTTTCCAAGACAACAGTTAAATGTCTTTTCATAGGCATGACAATTTGACAGCATGCAGTGGTTAAATAAAAACATATAGAAACATTTGACTCCATGTTGCACCAATCAGACCATCTTACCTGTCACCAGTACTTTTTTCTTATTGGCCATTATCCTTCTATCCTGTGATCAGAAATGTCATAAATGAATAACAGAGAGAAAAAGAGCAGCAGGAATCACAGGGCAACTTATATTTACTGCCGTCTTCTTCTAGTTTACTGTGAATGGACGTTAAAAACTAAACGTTAGTAGACCGCACTGCCATCTGGTGACTGAGGATGAGGATGTTAACTAGTTCATTATGTGAATTTAAAAGAAATTGGTTAAATGACATTGTGGGAGATAAAAGAAATGGGAATGAGGCAAGAAATGAAAACCAAAAGCGACAAAATGAAATAAAAGTAAAAGTCAAGCTTCAACTTTATGTAACACTTTTATTCAGAAAGTAAAATTAGAAAAATAATGGAACCATAATTGCTGATGGTAATGTCGATAGCTACAAGTTTAACTCCTCTCTGCCAGTAAGTGGCGCTCTGGAACTGGTGGCAGCTGGCTCGCAGCTCCTTCGCCTGGCTGTGTGTTTCCTGGACAGGAGCTGCTTCTTTTTCTATCTCTGCTTCTGTCTCCTTGAACCCCAGTCAGCCTCGGCAGATGGCCGCTCCGAAGGGAGTTTTTCCTCTCCACTGTCGCTACAAGCATGCTTAGTGTGAGGAATTGCCTTCGATTCAATTAGTCGATGCAATCAGCTGGTTTTCCTTAAATAAAAAACTTTGAATCAATCTGACTGGATGATCCGGTGAACTGGAAAGTGCCTTAAGATGACATGATGTGAATTGGCTCTATAGAAACAAACTGAATTGAATTGAATTGAACTCTCCCACCTACTTCTCTAACATTTGCCAGTTGGTTGCCAGGTCTGCTAATGCTATTGCTAATTATCAGCCCTGGAAACCAAACCAAACATTTAACTTACCAGTTCAGAAGAAAAGCAGCATCTTCTGTGTAGCTTCTGAGCTGCTTTGTTTTCTTGGTGCAGAATCTCTTCACTTTATTGTTGGCATTATTGGTCACCATAGCAACACTGTAAAGTGACCTTGGTGTCAAGAAAGGCGCTGTTAAATAAAATTTATTATTATTATTATACATTTTTATTGGCCGTGTTGTATTTGGCTTGAAGGGAAGAGAAGGTGGTCTGTAAAACACAATATGAAGAGAATGTAATTTGTAAAACTCAGGCTAAGATTTAAAATATTAAATCAGTTTATAAAATTGAAAAAAGAAAAAATTTTGTAAAAAGAGAATAAGAAAAAATAACCCTTAGAAACCCACCCAGCCACCCAGCTGGAGTTTACAGCGTGCTCACTGAAGGGCTCAAAACTTGCAGGAAGAAGGAAACAGAACACGAGAGAGATGTAGGAGTTATGGGGGGAAATTTGATCCAGGAAAAAAAGAAAAAAATATATAAATGTAAATTTGAAAAAGAAATAAATTTAAAAGTTAATTTGCTGTTTTCTCAGTGGTCTTGAACTTTCTTTTTAAATTTATTTTTCATATTTTACTTTTCTGAGTTACACAATTTTCACTCTTTTTAATTGCATTATATGCATCAAATTCTCTTCCCATCTGGGGGCGGGCTTTGTTCTGGTCACCATAGAAACACATTTTTATTGGCCGTTGTATTTGGCTTGAAGGGAAGAGAAGGTAGTCTGTAAAACACAATATGAAGAGAATGTAATTTGTAAAACTCAGGCTAAGATTTAAAATATTAAATCAGTTCATAAAATTGAAAAAAGAAAACATTTAGTAAAAAGAGAATAAGAAAAAATAACCCTTAGAAAACAACAAAGTTTCTCTAGAAGATCTTCATGATTAAGAAGTTTTTCAGTTTCATTTATGGGTTTTTGTTTTGTTTACCAAAGTAATTATTTTTTTTTTGATTCCCATTTTAAAATGTCATTTTTGCTTTCACCAATAATGAACCAAAGATAAATATCTACATATTCTGAATTGGTCCATGATTGTTGAAAGCAAAGAACATCGTTTGTTAATGGAAAATTGGAAAAGATGGATTCCTGAAATGAAAATTTGAAAAATGTTTTAATAAAAAAAAAAAGTAACTTTTCTCAAATTTTATCATTTTGTTTAAGATTTTTTAAATGTTTATTTCATACCTAATTTTTTTCACTCTTTTTCACCGATTTCATATTTTTAGATTTTTTTGTTGTTGCTCTTTGTCATACTGCTTTTCACAGATCACCATCTCTTCACTGTCTCTACATGCAAATGCTCACATATTAACTAATAAAAATGCTGCCAACGTTCCAAAAGGCCATTAAAAATATTCACTACTCCTCCAGAAGAAAGACTGAACTAGAAGTCTGGTGAATGCAATTCACCAGACTCAATCTGAAGACAAATTTGAAGAAATTAAATCTAAAATTTTCAAATCTGTAAAAAAAAATAGAAAAAACAACAAAATTATATATAAATTCTGAGATTATTGCAGTTAATTAATACATTTTTTCAAAGCTTAATTTCTAGATTCCATTTTTCCAAACTTCTACTTACAAAAATCCCTCTTTGCTTGCAACTATAATGGACTAAAAGTCACTCCGTATAGTTGGGCTCTTCAGCCACCTCTTCTGACGGACGCCGTACAACAATTTCTATGTGTGCCTGATACGCCCGGTACTAAAATTATTTTCTGGCTAAAACAGGACGAAGTAAGTACTATCAGGATGAATGCTTGGCTTTTATTTGGAGGTAAATATGCAAGTTTTTTGTGTTTTTCTTAAAGTCATAGTACACAACTAGACCCCTTTAACGTAAAGTGTCATTTTATGATGGATATATTCGTACTAAATATCACCTCTATGTCAATAACATGTTGTTGTGGCAACTCAGCAGCTAACATTTAACACCACACCAGCTTTCCATGTGAGTATTTGAGTAGTTTCAGTGTTAGAGGGCGTGAGTGTGAGCGAGGGCGTTGCTGCACATGCTCAGCCAGCAAGTTTGTTCTCTCCAGAGAGGGAGAGTAGAAATCAAAGGACAGATCTCTGGCTAAGAACAGTAAACATGATTTACAGTCCATTCCCTGGGTGTAAAGGCCAACTATTCTTTGCACCTTGCTGTTATCAAGTCGCAGGTAACCTGATATAATCCTGACAGAAACAGCTCACCCTCTATCCTCGGTGTGTGGAGGTCCACACCCTCAGGCTGGAAAATGACTAATTCTGGACAAATGAAGGGAACAATTCATATAAAACCTGCATGAGACTTTAGAGAATTTCTATCATTCATGTGGCAGAAATTAATGGACGCCAAATGACAGCTTCTCTGCTCGCGTATTTTAACCTGTTGCTAATGGCCCCTCCTGCCCAAACCCATTCACCTTCCTTATGCTGTCACTGTTTCCATGGAAACTAATGATGCCCTCTCTACTCCTTGGTGCTGATGCAGACAGTCTGCTGACGTCTCCACCGTGTATGGGCGGAATAATAATTGTTCTGCCACAGTTTTCCACCGCAGTCAGACCCACTTAGGTGATCCTGGTTATTATTCAGTCCTTTCATTATGTCTGGGCTTGACTAAGTAAAAAAAAAAAAAAAAAAGATGAATTCAACCTGCAGGTACACTACTGTTCAAAAGTTTGGGGTCACATTGAAATGTCCTTATTTTTGAGGGAAAAGCACTGCACTTTTCAATGAAGATAACTTTAAACTAGTCTTAACTTTAAAGAAATACACTCTATACAAACAGGCTCTAAACAGAGTAGAAAAAGAAGTGGGAGGCCGCGTTGCACAACTGAGCAAGAAGATAAGTACATTAGAGTCTCTAGTTTGAGAAACAGACGCCTCACAGGTCCCCAACTGGCATCTTCATTAAATAGTACCCGCAGTAGCCTGTTTGTGCTGTCCTCTGAAGACAGTAGTACACACCGTTGTGAGAAATCTTCAATTTCTTAGCAATTTCTCGCATGGAATAGCCTTCATTTCTAAGAACAAGAACAGACTGTCGAGTTTCAGATGAAAGTTCTCTTTTTCTGGCCATTTTGAGCGTTTAATTGACCCCACAAATGTGATGCTCCAGAAACCCAATCTGCTCAAAGGAAGGTCAGTTTTGTAGCTTCTGTAACAAGCTAAACTGTTTTCAGATGTGTGAACACGATTGCACAAGGGTTTTCTAATAATCAATTAGCCTTCTGAGCCAATGAGCAAACACATTGTACCATTAGAACACTGGAGTGATAGTTGCTGGAAATGGGCCTCTATACATCTATGTAGATATTGCACCAAAGACCAGACATTTGCAGCTAGAATAGTCATTTACCACATTAGCAATGTATAGAGTGTATTTCTTTAAAGTTAAGACTAGTTTAAAGTTATCTTCATTGAAAAGTACAGTGCTTTGCCTTCAAAAAAAAAGGACATTTCAATGTGACCCCAAACTTTTGAACGTTAGTGTAAACCAGCAAAACGTGTGTTGCTTTGTGTTAAATGCAGGAGAAGACTACTAGAATTGTAGTGAAGATTTAATAAGCCTAGTAAAAAAAAAAAGGTATTTTCTATCATAAATTTCCATCATTTACTTCAGATTAAAATCATGCCAGAATAAAGTGTTACAGTTTCCTCTTTATGTGGAATAAAACAGTTTTTCTTCCTAAAAATATGTTATGATAGAAAAATCCTTCAAATTAGGCTGATAAAATGGACTAAATTTAGCAGCTGTCTACAGATGCGATGCTCTGCAGCTCAACGGCACCGGCTGCAGCTCTGTTCCAAGGAAAAGTTGGCTTCTAGCATTACAAAGGAAGCAGATAAAAAGTAAAGAGAAGTCTCCTCTAAACACAGAGAATCGGACGAAGTCGACTTGAGCAAACTTTGCACCTAAGCTTCGAGGAGTGTGGCTGGCTAATATTCAGAGAAAACAAGAATCATCTAATTTAGCACAGATTTGATCAACTCCACGCTGCTTTTTCAATGTTTCAGAAGTTGTAGCTTTAAAAACGTAACCTTTTTTTTTCTTTTTTAAATAAAAACATAATCTTACATCAGTGTGAACAATGGAAAGTAGAACAGAAACACCTCATTGTTACATTCTCACAAAAACATTCCCATCAAGTTGAACTTCATTTCTTTCATTTACATTGCTACTTACCCTAAACCGTGTTTAAGTACCGTGCACTTTGTCTTCTCCACTTCTTATAGATCTATACCAGGGGTCACCAACCGTTTTAAGGCTGAGGGCCACTTAAAGGGTACCAAGACGTAGGAAGGGCGACCATTACTGACCCATGAGCTGCATGGGTTAGTGTTAGCCTCAGCTTTGTTCATTATCAACATATTTTTATTGTTTCTGTTAATTTCTAAGTTTATTTTAGACATTGTCATTTTGAAATCTCTATAAATGATTAAAAAGAAGAGCAACAGAATAAAATAAACTTTCAAACTTAGCCCACAGGTGGGTTGTTCTTTATTTAGAAGACTCTGAGGGCACCCCATGTGGTCCTTGAGGGCACCGCGTTGGTGACCCCTGATCTATACCATAGCCACCATCTTTGATTTGAACACATCATGACACACATCAGCATTTGACTAAACCACACCTCATGTAAAAAAAATCAATGGATAAATAATAAAAGCCTCAACATTGCAGCCAGTAAAGTTGGTCATATGTAATGCCATCAACTGGTAGCCTAGCAACCATAAACAGCTCTAGACAAGAGCCAAAAGGGACCAACATATTTATTTTACAGCTGTTTTCTATGTCTGCTTCTGTCTCCTTGAACTCCAGTCGGCCTCAGCAGATGGCCGCTCACACTGAGCCTGGTTCTGCTGGAGGTTTCATCCTGTTAAAAGAGAGTTTTTCCTCTCCACTGTCGCTACAAGCATGCTTAGTGTGAGGGATTGCCTTTGAGTCAATGAGTCGATGCAATCAACTGGTTTTCCTTAGATAGAAAACTTTGAATCAATCTGACTGGATGATCTGTTGAACTGTAAAGTGCCTTAAGATGACATGTGTTGTGAAATGGCGCTATAGAAATAAACTGTTGTAATGACATAGAAGGTTTCACCTCTTTGCTTAAATCAAACCACTGGTTTTTGACGTCACGGGTTGAAAAGCGAAAAGTTTTGGAACCCCTGGTATGTTTGGTCTGTTGCTCTGTGTTTTTTTTTTAATTTCTGAACATGTCTAGATTTATTTTTTTATTAGTAATGTCTTTCCATATTTAGTTGTATTCTATATTATTCTGTATTATTGTTAGGGTGTTATTGTGGTTTCATTCCTATGAGTTTGACTCCATTGGATTTTTTTTTGTCTGATTGTTTTGATTTGCTTTTGGTATTTTCGTTTAGATTTATGCTTCTTTTTTTATCCTTTTCGTCCTTATCTGTGTTGATTTCACTGTTCGGTTAATCTGTTTTCTCCTAAATAGACTCACCAGGTTTTCATGTCAGTAATCTCTCCATTTTCTGTATTTAATCTCCCCTGTTTTGATTGTTCCTTGATGGATTCTTCTGTTCTGCTTTTTTAAGCGTATATCATAGCCTTTCAGTCAGGGTGTGGACTTTGACTAAACATTTGGAACAAACAATGTGTTTTCTTTTGTTAGCCTCTAGGAAAAAAAAGATTTCCTCTCCTGTTTTTGTTCCATTGAGCAGTGTGTATTAGGTTTACAGAATAGTTTAGGCTTAACTCAACTGATGCAAGGTTACTAAATCCAGTATCAGAAAACCAGTTCAAACTACCAGCTCTCCCCATCGATGAGTCACAGTTGGTTTGAGCTGCTTGTATTACATAACGCAGGCGTACTGAAAGCTCTTGACCTTTTCCTCATTTATTCGTCCACAAAGTTTAATTCTACTGTGATGTTTACCAGATAGCTAAGCTAACCGCTGCTAGGTAGAAGATACATAGTTTTAAAAGCCCTCTAATAATCAGAAACAACCTCTGGGTAGTTTAGGCGTTGTACAGTGGCGGTTCTAGACCAAATGTACCAGGGGGCCAGGAGGGGGCCAGCGTGTTTTCATGGGGGCCCAGAACAGCATGAAATAAAAAACATGGCAAGGAATTCACATATATTAAGAGAGCTGCATGAAGTAAATTTTTTTTTTTTAATAAAATTCTATGCCTTATTAGGTCAATATGCATTCATAATTTAGGAATTTAACATATTTTTGTCATAATTTAAGGTAAAATTACAGTTTTCTATAAAATCTGAATTAGAACTCAAGAAAAACTGATAAATTCAGCTGTAAAAAAATTCAGCAATTTGATTTGAAAAAAAGCATTTGGCAGAAGAAAACTGGGATCCTATCTCAATACCAGTGAAGCTATCAGCTTATTGCTTTTAAATAATTAGAAAAAACTGAATTTGTAAAGAAAAAAAAATTAAATCGATCCAAAGGACCTATCAGTAACTATATTTGTTCCAGCGCATATCATAATTTCAATTTCTTTGAGTATCATGTCATCAGTACAGGGGCCAGGACATGAGCCCCCGTCTAGAACCGCCTATGGCGTTGTATTAATTCAGATATCCCCTTGCTGCAGCCAGGTTTCTGTAAGACAACATAAATTAGTTTGATTATCACAGATCAAGTCATTAACTAAACAAATGTTTAAAGAGAGTTATCTTATTTTCCCTGGGCCCTCAGGGTTTTTATTGAATTTAGCCAGATGTAACAAGTAAATTTCTCCACAGTGAAATCAATCAATCAATCAATCAATCAATCAGATTACTAGAAAGTAGAGCTAAACCGTCAAAATTGGGATGGATACTGTCTTTCTGAATCAAACCACGCTTCCTCCCAATACTTAAGGCCAATATTCAAGGTAACCCACATCATTTTAGGACAGCGCTTAGACAGCCAGCAGTTAAATGACAACATTCACCTAAACTTCTCACCACTGGTCAGATCAGGGAGGGGACCAGAGAAAGTTACTGAGGCGTAGTTACTGACTACGATTCGATTGAATTCAATTCAGTCATCTCAAGGCACTTTACAGTTCACCAGATCATCCAGTCAAATTGATTAAAAGTTTTCTGTCTAAGGAACACCAGTTGATTGCATCGACTCATTGACTCGAATGCAAGTCACAGTCAGAGAAACAGGACTACACTGGAAAAACAGGCCGATCTCCAACATCTAGAAACAAAGGTGTTGATGGCAGCAGCACAGCTGATATTTCTCTCCAGGATGGAGTCACAGCCAAACAGGAACAGACCAGATGAAGCTACTGTGAGAAAAAGCAGAGAGAGCAGAACGTTAGAGAATGAACTAATAGATTCTACAGAGTGGGAGAATAGAGATAGAATGAAGCAGAATGATGAAAAAGGGGTCCCTATGTCCTCCAGCAGTCTAAGCCTATAGCAGCAGAACTATAGAGATAGCTCAGGATAACCTGAGCCACTCTAACTAGAAGCTTTATCAAAAAGGAAAGTTTTAAGCCTAGCCTTAAAAGTAGACAGGGTGTCTGCCTCACGGACTAAAACTGGTACTTGGTTCCACAGGAGAGGAGCCTGATAACTAAAAGATCTGCCTCCCATTCTACTTTTAGAAATTCTAAGAACCTCTAATAAACCTGTAGCCTAGTAAACTAGCCCCACCTGCCAGCGGTCAAAGTCATTTTTGCCTGCGACTGGTTCTAGCCTCGATCGATGCCCCAGGCCCTAGAACTGGCCGGCCAATCACAACGCAGAGATGTGTTTTGAGGGCGTGACGACAAAGTTGCGCGACGTTTGAGAAAGCACAACAAGGAAGATGGCGACAACTATTGAACAGTTCTCGTTTGACTCGGGTTTGGAATCGTTTGTGGAGGATTAGACTTTGGGTTTTTTGTTGAAACGTGAGCAGGAAGAGGCTCTACGCTCATTTTTAAGAAGGACATATTTGCCGTTTTACCGACAGGCTGTTAGTTTCCAATACCCTCACCAGCTTCCTGTCGTGCTACGTAACAGTCAGTTGCGCTCATTGGTCAGAGCGTTGGCCAATAGGCACAGACATGGTTTAAAAAACAACGGGTTGTTCTCATCAACAATCTTCCGACTAAATTAAACATTTAATCTCACATTTAGTCTGGTTTATCACCTGCAGATTGAGAGCAAAATGCTGTTAGGAACATAAGAAACAATCAGATCTCTGATATTAAACAAACACGCTGAGTCTTTGAACAGATTTTTTTCTTTATTTTAATAGATTTCAGTTTATGGCGAAACAAATTGTGTAACAGATAAAAAGCCTTATGGTCAGACTATCCTCCAGACGCGTGAAAGCTGTGGGTGTTTGTGGCACATGGCAGAGCAGAAGCCTTTCCGCTGACTGCTTTCCTCATCTCGCTGTCAAAGTTTCCTTCCTCTTTTAACTCCAACTTCTACAACCACCTCCTTTTTGTTAAACACTGTTTATTGGATCCATTTTAGTGTATCCTGAATGAGTGACAGGAGATATGGGCAACATCTAGTACATTTAGTCCTGTTTTATGAATATTATTGTTAGAAGTAATGAAACTAGAAAGCAGAAAGTGTCTTTTTCTTTTCTGTTCTGTCAGGAGAACATTTTAGATTTTTTCTTTCTTCTTTCTTTCCAAGGCCTTTGGCTCTCACACCTTCCCCGCCCAGTTCTCCTCCAGGCCACCCTGCGTTTTTTTAACGATATGACATCAAACCACAATGCATTGCACTGTTTGTAGTTTATACAGCGGTCTCCATGGCAACAGAAACCGGCTCGGCCCCTTATTCAAATGAAAGCGGAAACCCGGATCGTTTCGGGCCAATCTGCGCGCGCTGCGGTGACATAATGGAATTTTTGGGGGTAGAACCGAGGCCAGTTCTGGCGCTGCGCATAGCAGACGTGCCACAGGGAGAAGACAATGTCACGGGTACGCGGAGGAGACGCACCAGACCCGCAGAGGCGCCACACCTGAGCATCCCCGCCGTTTCCTGTTTGGGATGACGCGCCCCGCAGCCCCTCATGTGAGGCTGTAGAATGGAAGCGAGCCTCTACCCGGTCCCAGCGGCGAACAAGATGATGAAAAAGGAGATCAGCCTGAATCCGGAGGAGCAGAGCGCGGAGCTGAAGGCGAACCCACTCCGGGACGCGGGGATTATAAACTCGCAGGATTTGGGACTTTTAAAACTGGCCTCTCCGGACCTGGAGCGTCTGATCATCCAGTCCCACCCCAACTCCCACTTCATGTTTCCCAAGTCGGCCAGTGAGGAGCAGGAATTCGCGGAAGGCTTCGTCAAGGCGCTGGAGGATCTCCACAAGCAGAACCAGCTGAGCGACGCGTCCCAGGAGCGGCTGGAGCTCCTCGGACCGCCCGGCGCCGCGGGGATCCAACCCTCCGACCTGCCCGTCTACACCACCCTGAACGGCTATGGGGCTCCGCTGGGCGCCGCCGTCCACTTCCCCACGGACACGCTCCCCTTCCCGCCGCCGACCCACGCGGCCGCGCTGTCGCGGCTCCAGCAGTCCGGCGGCGGCATGAAGGACGAGCCTCAGACGGTGCCGGACATGCAGAGCTGCGGGGACAGCCCCCCGCTGTCTCCCATCGACATGGACAACCAGGAGCGCATCAAGGCGGAGCGCAAGAAGCTGCGCAACAGGATCGCCGCGTCCAAGTGCCGCAAGAGGAAGCTGGAGCGGATCTCCCGGCTGGAGGAGAAGGTGAAAACCCTGAAGACGCAGAACACCGAGCTGGCCTCCACGGCCAGCGTGCTGAGGGAGCAGGTGGCCCAGCTCAAGCAGAAGGTGATGAGCCATGTGAGCAGCGGCTGCCAGCTTCTCCCGAACCAGGTCCAGGCGTACTGACCTGGGATCAGCTCTATTACCCACATCACAGACTCCTACTGCGCATGCGCGCTCATCCTGACCTTATCTCCTGGAAATATCAGCCTGGATTCACCAGGAAATGACTTTTTTTATTTACTAAACTATCAAAAAAAAAAGCCATGTAGCAAGCCTCTACGGAAGCCGGACAGTTTCAAGATATAGCGCAAACCATGGGCGGTTCTAGACAGGGGCCAACGGGGGCCAGTGCCCCTGTAGATCATATCCGGCCCCCGTTATGGCCCCTATATTGAAAACATAATACTCAAAGAAATTCTAATGATGATATGCCCTGGAACAGACATGGTTACTGATAGGTCCTTTGGATCTATTTCATTTTTTTCTTTACAAATTCTGATTTACCAATTATTTAAAACAAGGAGGTGATAGCTTCAGTGGCCTTGAGATAGGATCCCAGTTTTTATCTGCTAAATGTTTTTTTTTCCAAAACAAATAAAAAAAAAAAAAATTATCATTTTTTTTTCTGGAGTTCTAATTCAGAATTTATATAAAAAAAAAAATAAATTAAGTCAAAAATATGTAAAATTCCTAAATTATGAATGTCTATTGATCTAATAAGACATAATTTTATTTAAACCTAATTAAAGAATAGAAATTTCACTTCATGCAGCTATCTTAATATATTTAAATCGCTAACCCTGTTTTTTTTAATTGATGCTTTTCTGGGCCCCCATGAAAACAACGTTGGCCCCCTGGCATATTTGGTCTAGAACCGCCACTGGCGCGAACAGATCCCAGGGTTTCAACAAAACTACAAGCCGATCAAGAAGTAGAAAGTCAGCTGGACTTTGTATTTGCTGCCCTCTGCTGGCTGCAGCAATTATTGCCTTCTGGAAATATCTGCCTGGATTCACCAGGAAATGACTTTTTATGTTTACTAAACTTTTAAAAAAAAAGCCATGTAGCAAGCCTCTACAGAAGCCGGATAGTCTCAAGCTATAGCGCGAACAGATCCCAGCGTTTCACCAAGTGCTGCCATCTACAATGTAAAATATCTTGTTTACAAGCACTTAACAAATAAGTATATTTTATTTACTGAAACATGTAGTCTTATTTCTTGTCTTCTTTATCAGGTAAAACGAAAACCTGTCGAGTGTTTAATGTTGACAGTAATCCTTGTATCCTTCAGTGTTGGGACTGCTGCTCAGATCTCCATACTTTTATGAATGTGTATAAACTGAAAGCCTGTCTACATTTGTATTGGACTACAGTGACCTTCTGACATCTATTAAATTCACTACATTATTTAACCTTCTGCGTCCTGCGAGTCAGTAAAGTTAGATTTTAGTAGCAGTGTTTCACTTCTGCTGACCAAAACTACAGCTGATCAAGAAGAAAAGTCAGCTGGACTTTGTATTTGCTGCCCTCTGCTGGCTGCAGCAATAATTGCCTTTATTGACACACTGGTCTTCCAAGTTTAATATGGAGTGACTTTTGTTGCATTATTGTTGCAGGCGTAGAATGTGTTTTAAATGGGAAAAAAAAAGCAAGTAAAGAGACTTAAAACAAGCTCTTATTAAAAAAATTGTACTGAGAGTGATTTTAAATGTATGGTTTGAAACTTTAATTATAATAATTTAATATTTTCAAAATAGCTTATTATTCTTTACAAGATTGAGGTTTACAAATTTCACCCTTTTCAAAGTGGATTTCACAGTCACCTTCTCTTTGCTCGGTCTTGACCGATAAAAATGTTGCAAACGTCCATGGAGACTGAAAGAAATGCATCTTAAAACTTTAAAGGTACACTATGCAACCGGTGTTGATTTTCCAGTGAGGCTCCCTCCAGAGGGCGAAAGTAAAAGTGCACTGTCGTAAATATGCACAGCTGTTCTCCTGGTTTCTCCGTCAAGCCAGGCGCGGTTGTTTTGAGCTTAGCAGCGAATGACTAACGCTGCGTTCACACTGGACGTAGCTGGCGCGACAGAAGCAGCGAGTTTACATGCAAAGTCAATGGTTGACGCGCGTCAAGGCGCAACAAAAGGTCCCGCGGCGCGTTTTGAGCACCAGGCGCAGCACGTCTGAGCAGCTGAAGCAGCGCGTCGGGTGCGTTTAACGCAGGGAGAGAGACACAGCGCTGATGATCTCTCCTCTTATACAGTTTATTGACGCCTAAATTAACTTAAAATGCAGAAATCTGCCGGCAGAATATGCAGTTTGGATTATTTAGATGAAAAACACCTACCAGCTGCCGCGGTGAACCGAGGCTGCTGATTAAGGGATCCATACTGTCGCGCACCGCTGGTATGTGGGGGTCTGAGCGGCTCCGACAGAAAAAATATTGAAGGCAGGATAATAATCTGAATGAACTGACTGCACTGATTACGTTTTCAGGTGTATTTTCTCACTTAAACACATATTAAAACTACTTTATTCCCACTGATCACAGCAAATATAGCTGCAAGGCAGAGAAAGGATAGTGAAGCTCCGCCCAACGCGCCTCAGACACAGCCGGAGCAGCAAAGCTGCTTCAGCCACGAGTCAGAACTAACTGGTACAAGCAGCAAAAAGGAAGCAGCAGACGCGATTTTGCTGCTTTTGCTGCGTGAACGTAGCATAACTGCACAAAGATCGCCACTGTGCTAGCAACGAGAATGCTTTTAACTGGGGGGTGTAGCAGTTCTCGCCGTAAAGCAAGACTGACTCTCACGAGACTTCTGAGCCTGTGGGTGCGGGTCGGTGCTCCTGCAGTATTTCCCCCACAGACCACCAGGGCGGCCGAGAATACCTTTGTTCAACCTGAAATGACTCATTTAATCATCCAAAACGTTATGGAACACATTCATTAACTGAAAAATGTTGCATAGTGTCCCTTTAAAAGAATTCAACATGTAAAAATCAATCCAAAGATATAAATTAAAACTGAACTTTTTTTTATTTTTATTTCCATCTGCAAATTATATTCTTTGCAGCAATAATGGAACATAATTCACTTCATATAATTTATCAAATGAGTTTTACATCATGTTTTGACGAACAGTTTAGATCAGTAAAGCATGTTATTTTACTAAAATCATTCAGACACACATTGGATAATGATATTTTAAAGAAATGTTTATTTCCCAAAGTTCCTCATCATAAAAGTGGGGGGAATATTTTGCCCAGGCACCTAAGCTGTCAGTCTATGTTTTACATCCCATGTAAATTAAGTCCCGCCCCCAGATGGAGGGGTCAGTAGTTTGAAAAAACAAAAAACAAATCCTAAACTAAAATGGTTAAAAACATTTTTTAGTTTCAAATCACTTTTGATTCAATTTTTTTTTTTATCTAAATATTTTTTGCTTAGAAACAAACTGAGGCTCTAATTTAGCTCCATACTGTTTAAGCTGTTATTTAGTTTTGCATCAGCTGTCTCTTTTTACTCCCCCACCAGATTAAACAATCTTAAAGAAAAAAAAAAAAGAACAAAGCTCAGCCATCCCTGTAAGTGATGACATAAGCAGCACAGAAGTCCAGCTTTTAGAACATTTTATTGATTCCTTATTTGAGTAAGCCTGGTATTACAGAATTACAGCACAATTCACACAACTAATATCTGACAGGAAGGATGTTCCTATTTACAGTTGGGAATGCTGCCATGAAAGGAGGGAAGAGGAGGAAATTATTGTAGCAAAATAACATAAATTAACAAAAAAAAAAAAAACTAAACAACAGTAAACAAGTGAGAAGGGAACCAAAACAGAGAAAATCCCTTTTGGACGAAGAGTTTAGAGTATTCCGTTAACCTGACAGATTAAAAAAATAATCCTCCTGAAAACATTGATTTATTCAGTTGCTTTCTGCTCCTTGGTTCTTGTGTTACAGTCATATGCAGAGTAAAAAACATAAATAAATAAAAGTTGTAGCAAAGCTGATATCAAAGACAAACAAACTCCTCACTGCAGCTACGTGACCGAGATAAGGAGTCCTCACCCTGGAATGTTTTAACGGATTCATCCCACACTTCACTCTGGGTACTGAATACTGACAAACAGCTTTTATAAAAATATACAGAAAAAAGGTAAATAAATACTACAAATAATAACTTAAGTCATAAATAACACAAAAATAAATAATTCAGCTCAGTTTTTGTACACAAGTTGGAAAAGGTTGGTACTGAAAACAAGCGCAGATCTTAAAACGAGCAACAGAAACGACGAGTTGCGATGTGACATTTAACATGTTCAGAAAAATGAACCAGACCCAGATGGAGCGGATCCAACCTGGAGGTAGAGGGAGGCGACAGCTATGGGCTCCAGTAGTGCCGACTGAAAACACTCCGTGGGTCAGGGCGCCCCTTCACCCATGCATTCACTCAGTCATCAGCAGCCATGATCACATGAAGCGCATGCAATGCAGCCTCCCTTAACTCTTAATGTTTTCTTTTTCATTTGCAAATAACTTTATTTTTTGTTTACATTTAGACTAGTGAAACATTTATCATTGTCATTTTTGAAATGGAAATGGAGGAGATTGACCGCCCAATCAGAATTCTGACAGCTAACAAACATGTTAGCATTTAGCCGTAGCCATGCCTGTTTTAGAGACTAAACTAGCTCTCTTGTTTTAATCACCTTCTGCTCTTACATTAATTAAACAGCATTACCGGTGACACGTCGGGCACGTAAAAAGGCGCCTAATTCCGTCATTTTCCACCAATGTGTTACTGGCCCTCCTTAACAACTCACATCTTTGTCAGTGAAGCTGAAGCTTCCTAGATCTCTTCCTTCATGGTGCCCATCTGCGTTAAGATCCAAAATTCTGAGATTAAAGTCAGAATTCTGAGATTAAAGTCAGAATTCTGAGATTAAAGTCAGAATTCTGAGAAACTTTTTTTCCCATATTAAACTGAAATAATATTTAAAAATCAGTAAACTTTTTTTATTTTTTCAATGGCCCTATTCCTCTTCCATACAAAAAAATAAAATCGACATCAACTTAAAAAAAGAAAAACTTGTACAGGTCAATCTCCATTTCAGATCCACTTATTTAACCATTGCTCATCACTCTGTCTCTCAGTCAGGGGTTCCCCAGTTATTCAGCCTGTGACCCGACAGAAAACAGCAGCGATATAGAAAGACCACCCTTAAAATACTTAGTTATTTCACTCTATATTCATTTATAAATACAGATCCATGTTTTATCATTTTATATGTCAGTTTCATTATGGTATATATATTTACTTCATATACCACATGGATTGGGGAATCGGACCTTCACTTTGGGAACCCCGGCTAATACCGATAATACCGATTTATTAAGATAATTAAAATGAATAAAGCTCACATTTGACATCCAGACAAATTCATCTGAAGTTAAGAGGCCCAATCTGCTGCGATCCTTTTCCTAAAAACGAGGCTGGGGTGGTGAAGGGGAGACATGACCAACGCTCGCTTCCCTGCAATCGGTAAAAATTATCGACATGATGGGCGTCATGAAGAAAACATCAGTAACCTTTGACCCCATTCAAGAGTTTCTCTAAAGAAGAATGGGACTGATGAGTGTTAAAATCAATTTAAAAAAAAGACAAAATCTCATACAAATAACAAAACCAGTCAATCAAGTTAAGCTTCAAAACATCCACAACATGCAGCTCTTACTACAGCACAGGCAGGAATCCAAATAACTTCATTAGCATTAATTCCTCTGAATTATTTTACACGTATATACTGATAAATACCAGCATTTATTGACATTTAGATATTTGTACACCTTTGATCAGATGGTTAGATTGAATCCTCTCTTACTGTGATGTATGACTTGTAACTAATACCAACCAAGTAAAAAAAAAAAAAAAAAAGATGTATAAAACATCCAAGTCGTTATGCAGGACCAACCGAGACGCGGCTTTTGTTTTGGTTACCATTTAGCGCCTACACTGGTTTAGAAAAGTGAACACGCATCTGTTGAGGTACTAGATGACGACCCGCCGTTATAAATCAGCTCAGATCTCATGCGACCTGCATCCGGAATGATCTAATAAACAGAAAAGAAATGCTCTGACATCCTGAAACCAACACCCCAGCATTCAGTCTCAGTGTTTATTAAAGTTACCGTAAATTTCGGACTATAAGCCCCTACTTTTTTTCCCACAGTTTGAACACTGTGGCCTATTATACAGTGTGGCTAATACATGTTTTTTTTCTTAATGCGTGGAGCCGTGTGAAAACATCCAGCATCACCGGTGGGTTTCGAAAGGCTGAGCTGCTGCGGGATGAAGAGGACCGCGAGAGCGACAAGGATGAGACTGAAGTCAGTGATGGCATCCTGAAGCTGTTCCATTCAGACACCGAGGAAGAGGACTTTGAGGGTTTTAGTGCGCAGGAGGAAGAAGAAAGTGATTAATGACTTTTCCTGGTCAGCTGCAATGTTCTGTGCGTTGTTTAATTAAAAGTACCGGTATATGCAGCGTTATTTGCGTGTTACCGACAGATACGTATATTTAAATGTGTTACAGGTAGTTTGAAAAAAAAAAAAAGCATTCATAATATGTACCGTATTTGTTTGTTTTATTATACGGATTAAATCAAACATTAAAATGCTCACGTGTAATATCTTTATTTGTAAATATCTCATACAACGTGGGAAACCTGCGGCTTAAAATCCAGTGCGCTCTATAGTCCGGAATTTACGGTAATCTGAACATATTTCAAGGATTTCCTGCCGTCCTTAGGGAATGTTTTTTTTTCCCTCTGTTTGCAGAGAAGGTATGAAGGATGCAGTGTTTCATTTAAACTGTGGATCAGTGGAAAAGTCGACTGTATGACACTGAACCACAGTGATGCTTCATAAACTGCTTATTCTTTCAAAAACAGGTAAAAACGGTGGGTTTTTACCTGTCTTTGAAAGGTAAAAAGGTAAAAAAGGAGGGGTTTTCTGCCTGTTTTTCATTATCTGGTTTGCTCAGATGAAAGTGAGGGCCAATCAAAGATCCAACACGTTTCGACTCTTTATCTTATCACAGGTCGTGACGACCAACTGAAGCATGCAGTTTGAAAATCTGATCTTCTGCAGCTCGGCCAGGGACATCGACCAATCAGAGAAGCTGATCTGATCAAGTGCAGAAACAGGCTAATGATTCTCACTGTAGAGGAGAGGATTCTGCACCTGGTGCGCAAGTCTGGGTTTACAGTCCAGAACGGAAAACCGGACTGCCCCCCGAGATGATGAGCCAATGGTTTGGCCCCTAAGCTTTCCTAAAGAGACCATCAGACGTCATCTACCGGGTACAACTGACCAAGCGGAGCTGGATGGCGGGGCTTCATAGAGACCGACTAGCACCTTATTAACCCTTTGTCACAGCTGATGGGGAGTCAACGGCTCAGGACCAGTCAGGGACCCTTACCCCCAGATTCCACATACTCTGTCAGCGCTCCGCTCACGTACGTCGTGCTTGTCTGTCATGTTAATCAATGACAGCCGTTTCACATCCTCCACACGGAATCGTCCACGTACGTCTTCGCCGTTGGTCAACGTCAAAATACGGAGCGATGTGTGGGTTTTCAAATAAAACTAATTCATTTCTTAGAATGTTCATTTTAAAATCTTGCCATGTGAACCAACCATAAAGTCGTAGGGATTCTCCCGAGTGGTGCACGACTTTACACGAGTGAATAAAGTGAGGGTGATTGGTCGTTTATCAAGAGGGTTATGGAAAGTTCACAAGCAAGTTTGATTGTAGCCGGTTTATCAGAAGCATCTTGCTAACCAGTTAGCAACTTAGTGCTAGCAGGTTCCCAATGGGAAATTCCATTGGGACCAAGTAGAACTAAATTGGTGACTTAGAAACGACGCTGTCAAGGAACGCTATGGACAGAGGAAACATGCAAGAGGAGGAGAGTTTAGTGTCGGAGGTCGTGGATGAGTCTCCTCCGTCATCCATTTTTTATTTGGAGGAGGAAAGCGGGGATGAAGATGTTGTGGAAGAGGACGCCAGGGCGGCAGAAGCTTGGTTTGGTGTAGAAGGCTTCCAGCCGTACATGTTTGAGCCCTTGCCTCGCAACGCTGTTTAATGATCCTTATGATTAACAGCCCAGATCGTCTCGTTATCAGTAAATCAGATGGGGGAAAAAAAAAATGGTGGTTTAATAAACCATCAATGGACATTAATCATAAATCAATTGTTTGTTTGCATCCCTAGTTTTAAACACCTGGAACAGTAGCGTGAACACTTTTCACATCTGTAAATTGACTTTTTATATTTCAAAGGCTCCTAGATTAAGTAGAAAGGAACATTTCTATAGAATATAGAACATTTCTATAGAATATAGAACATTTCTATAGAATAAGCCTGCAGGGACATCAAACCAAACATCTGTAACCACGAAACACGGAAAGGAGGATTTTAGATCCTTAAGAAAATGAACCACAGTAAAATAAAGTAAAGCTGGGACAAAAACTAGAATTGCTGCAAATCTGGTGGATGCAGCTCTGTGTGCTGAAAAGCTGAGTGGAAGAAAAGCCTTCATGGTCCCTCTGACTGAGATTGGAACAAACATTTTTGGTGGAAAGCTGCGTCACGCTGACAAAGCTCTGAATGAGGAGAATCTAAGCAGCCTACTGGTGTGGCTCTGATGATGGCAGTGGGTTTGTGCAGGGACATATTTGCATCTATATGTTAAAAAGAACATAGAGAGCAAAGATCCAAGCTACAAAAAGTTGAAAAATCTGGACAAGCAGTGAGTATGTGTGTGTGTTTATGTCTGTGTGTGTTTTTCTTGTGTGTGTGTGTTCAGCAAGCGCAGTCTTGGTTGGACCTCTGCGGCTGCTCATTCAGCTGTGGCCCCTGCTTGGCTCCGGTGACGGCCGGGTCGTTGTTATCCAGAGTCTCTGTCATCCTCTCACAGATGATGTCCACCAGCCGCTCGAACGTCTGCTTCACGTTGATGTTGTCTTTCGCACTGGCTTCAAAGAACTCGAATCCTGTTAACATGGACGGAGGAAACGACACTCAGGCTCTACGGCTCACCAGAAAGCAAAGTCACCTCAGATCTGCCAACGTAGACATGATGGAGTTCACCAAGGAAAGTGGAATCCAGTACGATGTGCACTGAACTTCTATATAATCACCCCTTTAAGCGTCACTATATGGCCCATTTACTGATTTAGTGCGGAATTTAGTTCTGATGTTAAAGGCACACTATGCAACATTTTTCAGTTAATTAATGTGTTCCATAACGTTTTGGATGATTAAATGAGTCATTACAGGTTGAACAAAGGTATTCTCGGCCGCCCTGGTGGTCTGTGGGGGAAATACTGCACTTGCAATTGCAGGAGCACCGACCCGCACCCACAGGCTCAGAAGTCTCGCCAGAGTCGGTCTTGCTTTACGGCGAGAACTGCTACACCCCCCAGTTAAAAGCATTCTCGTAGCTAGCGCAGTGGCGATATTTGTGCAGTTATGCTACGTTCACGCAGCAAAAGCAGCAAAATCGCGTCTGCTGCTTCATTTTTGCTGCTTGTACCAGTTAGTTCTGACGCACGGCTGAAGCAGCTTTGCTGCTCTGGCTGCGCGGTGCTAAAGTGTGTCTGAGGCGCGTTGGGCGGAGCTTCACTATCCTTTCTTTGCCTTGCAGCTATATTTGCTGTGATCAGTGGGAATAAAGTAGTTTTAATATGTGTTTAAATGAGAAAATACACCTGAAATCGTAATCATTGCAGTCAGTTCATTCAGATTATCATCCTGCCTTCAATATTTTTTTCTGTCGGAGCCGCTCAGACTCCCACATACCAGCGGTGCGCCGACAGTAGGAATCCCTTCATCAGCAGCCTCTGGCCGGGTCGCCTCCTCACGGTTCACCGCGGCAGCTGGAAGGTGTTTTTCATCTAAATAATCCAAACTGCAGGCAGCAGGATAATAAAAGCGAACATATTCTGCCGGCAGATTTCTGCATTTTAAGTTAATTTATGCGTCAATAAACTGTTTAAGAGGAGTGATCATAGCGCTCTGATCATCAGCGCTGTGTCTCTCTCCCTGCGTCAGATGATTAAACGCGCCTGACGCACTGCTTCAGCTGCTCAGACGCGCTGCGCCTGCTGCTCAAAACGCGCCGCGCCTGCTGCTCAAAACGCGCCGCGCCTGCTGCTCAAAACGCGCCGCGGGACCTTTTGCTGCGCCTTGACGCGCGTCAACCATTGACTTTGCATGTAAACTCGCTGCTTCTGTCGCGCCAGCTGCGGTGTGAACGCAGCATTAGTCATTCGTTGCGTTCGTCTGTCTGCTAAGCTCAAGACTACTGCGCCTGGCTTGACCGAGAAACCAGGAGAACAGCTGAGCATATTTACGACAGTGCACTTTTACTTTCGCCCTCTGGGGGGAGCCTCGCTGGAAAATCAACACCGGTTGCATAGTGTACCTTTAAGAGGACTGCGGCAACGAGGGCTAATGTTAGCCTCGGAGGGCTAACGTTACACTGCAAAACCGATCTACAAATAAGTAAACATTTCCTAAATTAAGTGTATTCACCCTTAATTTAAGAAGGTAAATGAGAGAGTTTGCCAATGGAATGAGTATTTTTACTCTTAAAATAAGATAATTAGATAATATGCACTTGAAATAAGACAATGCAATTGTGTTTTCTTATTTTAAGTGTAAATTGTCTTGTTCCATCTGCAAAATCTATCTTTTACCTCCTCAATTCAAGAACAAATGCATGTATTGTAAGAAAAAAATGACTAGTCTAGCTTTAGATTTTTTGCAGTGTGGCCCGTCTGCAGCAGCTCTCTCTCTGCATAGCTGTGTGTGAAGGTCCGCTCACTCTGATTTGTCAAATTTAATGTTTCATTTAGATTACAAAAATAAACCGTAATAAAAATAATCCTATTTATGATGTTTTAAAAATTAAGACCAACAAAAGACTGATTTAAGACATTTTAATACCAATTAAGGCCTTAGTTTTATTTTGAAGAATTCTTGCCTTTTAAGACCGTGACGTCACTGCTGGAAGATGGCAGGAGGGAGGGGTGACTATATTTGGGCAAAAATGGCCGCTCTCGCACTTAGTGATTTTGACGAAAATTATTTACATTTTTTTACTGATTAACGTTAAATTCATTGAATCACTGCAAATGTATTTTTTTTTAGGTTAAATAATGATCCATTGATTATTCCTTGCTGACCGGACTTTTCCTGGTTTATGTAAAACAAGCTAAAATGACAGAATAAGAAAAGTTAACTCTCTTTATGGCAAACAGGCTGCAGACTGGGTGGACCTTTTCCTTCTTTAGGATAAATCTGCAGCCCAATGGGGACTAGAGTTAGGAATGACCTACCAGTATATCGGCTAATGGAGACTTACCGAGCTGCTCGGCCAGCTGCCGGCCCCTCTCAGACGCCACCAGCCGCTCATCCTCCATATCACATTTGTTTCCCACCAGGAGAACTTGAGCATTGTCCCATGAGTAGGTCTTGATCTGGGTCGACCTGTTACAAAAAAAATTTGTTTTTTTTGGAAAAAGTGTATTTTCTGTGAGGTAACGCTGCTGCCTCACTGGAACAGACGCCATTATTTCACATTTACAGCATTTAGGGATGCACGATATTGGGATTTTGGCCGATATCCGATATGCCGATATTTTAAAACTCATGTAGCCGATAACCGATATCGATACTGATGTTAAAGCTGGACAAAAATAAGTAGTCATTGAAAATAGCAGTTTTGTTATCCATTTCTGACACTTTGAAAAATAAAATACTCAAATATATTTTCATATGCTGATATCAAATTGATTTTTAAAAACGTGGTATCGATCTATTTTACTTTCAAAATCTCGTGAAATTTCATCGTTCTGTTACAAACTCTCGTGATATTTTGCAAATTCTTGTGAGATTTTGTTAGTAAAATAGATCGATACCGCGTCAATATATCGACATATAAAAATATGGCAACATTTCGTGGATTTTCGGGGGATTTCGTAGCATAACGATGTCATATAGCAATATTTCATTAGTAAAAGAGATTGATATGGTGTTTTTAAATGCCAATATATCAGCATATGAAAATATTGTGATATTTTAATGTGTCAATATTTTTTTCCCTCGTCTTTAGAAGTTTTCAAGTCTGTAAAAAAGAAGTTTTTTAGGAAGAAGTAGTAGTATTTTTTATTTTATTTTTTTAGACTTTAGAAACTCAGAAGCTGATCAAATATCGGGTTAAATATCGGTGGGGTGGCCGATGTCCGATATTCAGTTTTAAGGCCGATACCGATAGAGGGCCGATTATATCGTGCATCCCTAACAGCATTCTAAAGAGAGTTCAGTTGACATAAACTGGGATATTTAGGAGGATAAAACATCTTCCAACTAGGAGGAAACTGCATCAAATGATCAGGCAGTAAGACTGACGCTTTCTGATATCTCTTACCAGTCTTGCACAGAGTTGAAGGACTCCTCGTTGGTGATGTCATACATAAGGATAAAGCCCATGGCTCCCCTGTAGTAGGCTGTGGTGATGGTTCTGTAGCGCTCCTGTCCAGCAGTGTCCTGCACACACACGGAACAAAACACATTTTGGATCATTAACTACACAATCAGTTCCCTTTCCTACCACTAGAGGGACACAAACATCTATTTTAAAAACAGAAACCTTTTTTTTTTTTTTGTGTAGTAAGTTGTATCTCAGTTTCAGTCAAATTCTGAAGCTAAGGAAAAATGACTGTGTGTTTTAACAGAAAAAATATCATTTAGAAATATGAAAACTAATGTGTTTAAGTCTCCTAAACTAATGTTTTTTAAGGCCAAAAATTTGTAACCTACTTAAATCTGTGAATTAAAAACAGAGATCATATTTTTTCTATCTTACATTCTCTTCCTGTTGAATCCAGAATATAATTTAAGCTCCATCTGATATCAGAGATCTGATTGTTCCTTATGTTCCTAACAGAGCACTTCGCTCTCAATCTGCAGGTTTACTAGTGGTTCCTAGAGTTTCTAAAAGTAGAATGGGAGGCAGATCTTTTAGTTATCAGGCTCCTCTCCTGTGGAACCAACTACCAGTTTTAGTCCGTGAGGCAGACACCCTGTCTGCTTTTAAGGCTAGGCTTAAAACTTTCCTTTTTGATAAAGCTTCTAGTTAGAGTGGCTCAGGTTATCCTGAGCTATCTCTACAGGTGCTGGTCATAAAATTAGAATATCATGAAAAAGTAGATTGATTTCAGTAATTCCATTTAAAAAGTGAAACTTGTATATTATATTCATACATTACATACAAACTCATATATTTCAGATGTTTATTTTGTTTAATTTTGATGATTACAAATGACAACAAATGAAAATCTCAAATTCATCATATCAGAAAATTAGAATATTACTGAAGACCAATAAAAACAAAGGATTTATAGAAATGCTGGCCAACTGAAAAGTATGAACATGAAAAGTATGAGCATGTACAGCACTCAGTATTTAGTTGGGCCTCCTTTGGCCTGTATTACTGCAGCAATGCGGCGTGGCATGGAGTCGATCAGTCTGTGGCACTGCTCAGGTGTTATGATAGCCCAGGTTGCTCTAATAGTGGCTTTTAGCTCTTCTGAATTGTTGGGTCTGGTGTATTGCATCTTCTTCTTCACAATACCCCATAGATTTTCTATGGGGTTAAGGTCAGGAGAGTTTGCTGGCCAATTAAGAACAGGGATACCATGGTCCTTCAACCAGGTACTAGTAGCTTTGGCACTGTGTGCAGGTGCCAAGTCCTTTTGGAAAATGAAATCTGCATCTCCAAAAAGTTGGTCAGCTGCAGGAAGCATGAAGTGCTCTAAAACTTCCTGGTATGTGGCTGCGTTGACCCTGGACCTCAGAAAACACAATGGACCAACACCAGCAGATGACATGGCACCCCAAACCATCACTGACTGTGGAAACTTTACACTGGACTTCAAGCAACGTGGATGAAGTGCCTCTCTTCTTTTCCTCCAGACTCTGGGACCTTGATTTCCAAAGGAAATGCAAAATTTACTTTCATCAGAGAACATGACTTTGGACCACTCACCAGCAGTCCAGTCCTGTTTCTCTTTAGCCCAGGCAAGACGCTTCTGACGCTGTCTGTGGTTCAAGAGTGGCTTGACACAAGGAATGCGACAGCAGAAACCAATGTCTTTCATACGTCTGTGTGTGGTGGTTCTTGAAGCACTCACTCCAGCTGCAGTCCACTCTTTGTGAATCTCCCCCACATTTTTGAATGGGTTTTGTTTCACAATCCTCTCCAGGGTGCGGTTATCTCTCTTGCTTGTACACTTTTTTCGACCACATCTTTTCCTTCCCTTCGCCTCTCTATTAATGTGCTTGGACACTGAGCTCTGTGAACAGCCAGCCTCTTTAGCGATGACCTTTTGTGTCTTGCCCTCCTTGTGCAAGGTGTCGATGGTCGTCTTTTGGACAACTGTCAAGTCAGCAGTCTTCCCCATGATTGTGTAGCCTATAGAACTAGACTGAAAGACCATATAAAGGCTTTTGCAGGTGGTTTGAGTTAATTAGCTGATTAGAGTGTGGCACCAGGGGCCATCAATTTTGAACCTTTTCACAATATTCTAATTTTCTGATATGATGAATTTGAGATTTTCATTTGTTGTCATTTGTAATCATCAAAATTAAACAAAATAAACACCTGAAATATATGAGTTTGTATGTAATGTATGAATATAATATACAAGTTTCACTTTTTAAATGGAATTACTGAAATCAATCTACTTTTTCATGATATTCTAATTTTATGACCAGCACCTGTATAGTTATGCTGCTATAGGCTTAGACTGCTGGAGGACGTGGGGATCCCTTTTCCTCATTCTATCTCTATTCTCCAATGCTGCAGTATTTGTTCAGCCACAAACTTTATGATCACTCTGCTTTTTCTCATCATCTGGGCTGGTTCTGTTTGGCTGGGAACCCATCCTGGAGGAAAATATCAACTGGACTCCTGGCATTAACGCTTTAAATTATAGATGATAGAAGATGACAGACCTGTTTTTCAGGGCTTTGTCCTGTTTCTACCAGACATGTTCACAAGTCATTTTTTGCAAGTCCAAGTCAAGTCTCAAGTCCAGAGTAGGCCTGTTGCAATATTAAATTAATCGCACAATAAATTCTAATCACATGATTAATAAAAATAAGTTCAATAATTTGCGTGCTTGCTTGTTTCTCCTTGTGTTTTCATCTCCTTCACTGAGACGGTATAGCTTAAAGGTCACTATTATATCTATGGAATGATCATTATCTTGAACTGGTAAATAAAAAATACATGCTTATATGTCACGTAGCGTTGCGTCACTGACGTCAGTGCTACATGACTGTTTGACAGCCCCTCTGCCATTTTTTTTTTTTTATCCTCTGCTGTGTGTAAGGCGAGCGGCGATCAGTCAAGTTAGTAAAACAAAAAACTCTTAGAAAATAAAATATTGTTCACACGTCGGAAATCGCGAGTCTAAGTCGAGTCTGAAGTCATTAAATATGCGACTTAAAGGAATAGTACACCCAAAACATGATTAGCCTTCATTTTCTACTCACCCCCATGCTGAACAACACTCTGGAGTACTTTTTTGATATCTCAAATGCATCTGGAGATCTGGGAGGCTTCTTGCTGTCTGCTGACATTCAAATAATGGAGGTCTATGGCGCCCGAGGCAGAAAGGTCCATAAAAGTCCACAAAAAACGTGTCAATATTCCTCCATACTGCTCGTCCAATGTATTCCAAGTGTCCTGAGTGGGTAGCGTCCATAATTTACTCGAAACAAAGTCATTTAGAATGTTTTTAGAGCATAAACAGTAGTGTATAGGATTTCCTAAAAGCGCGTTCACGAGTCTACGGAAACCGCGGCAGACCAAACCAGACGAAAGTGCGCATTCAGCTCGGCAAAGAACTCATGCTCTTCTTCAACACTGAAGTCCTCAGACATTTTTCTTTCGCTGTTTCTTTCTTTGCACAGGTAAACAGCACATTTCTTCTTCTACGCTTGCATTATCGGCAGAGCAGACGCTGAATGCGCACTTTCATCTGGTTT